ACCACCACGGCTGTCCCAGTATATCAACAATTTATCTGAAACTATTTAATAAGTTCAGAAAGCGGATAAATGAAAACGTTACAATGCTATAGCATTGTAATTTGATGCCATTTGCAGCACGTAGTGAGTCGATTTAATGTGGATAAAATTTCTTTTGATGTATTTTGTAAATACTGTTTGATGACACTACACTCTGACGTGTTACTCAAAGTTCAATTAGGACATTGACCGGGTCTTTGACCTGAATGACATGAAAAGCATGTCATCAACGATATTTTATATGCAACAGTTCAGCGGGAAAATTGGCTGTTTTGCACCTATCATCCTAATCAATTTAAAAAGAGTGGCTATGCCTTAGTTTGATTAAGCAGTTTTTTGGTAATCTATTTTTGGTAGTATCGTTAGATTTTTTCGAATTGATGATAAATACTTTTGTAATATGAAGAACCTCGGCTTTGAAACAACCAAGATCATAGTCGAAAAGGTCATTCAATTTTTCTGATCGTTTCATTTTGACCACTCTTGGGATGTGTGGGTTGGGTCATGTCGCTTTTTTGCTTTTCCCGTAAATAGGAAGGAAGCTTGTTTTGAGATCCAATGTTTTTTTTTGATAGTGTCTTAACTCTATTTGTATTTGTTTGACTAAAAATCAACAATGCTATAGCTCAGGAAGATGGAGGTCATATTTTGTTAAGGCTAAAATTACGACTGGATTTTGGCTTGCATGAAAACTTGTTCTTGTTGGCTTATGATCAGAGCAAGGTTGTTGATTAGTATCTTCACTTTTTTCTAGTATCCTCACTTTTTCGTATTCATTATTTGCAGCTCATATCTTTGCAATTAGTTTTCGAAAGTTTTCGGTTATTATGTTTTAGTCATAATTTACTTCACTGATATGATGTCGTAGTTGATTTTTTTTATAGAGAGTGGGAGAAGATCATTTTTCTATCAAGGTTAAGAAAGCTTCTCACATAGAAAGATAGAAGATTGGCTTGTTTTAATCAGTCCGATTCACTTTCTGTTGCCGTAATTGGGTTTTCCACAAATTCAACCCTCGTCTTTTATTTCCAGTTTCAAATTTCAAGTTCTTAGGTTGTTGGTCAATTTGTTGTTCAGTTATTTAGAATAGTCTTTTCTGCAGGCAACCGTTTACGAGTTTGAAGAACAAAAATTGAATTTCAGTTATGTATATTTCAAGATGGAGTAGTGGTGAGATGTAAAAGCTTCAAGCTTTAATTTTAAGCGCTCAAAAAATTTTTTCTGGTAACTATTTATTTGTGTGGATTTATAAACAGCAATTTCGGCTCAACATGCGTCTAACCAACTTTTGTTGCTCACTAGCCACTCCGTAAATGAATTCTTATTTAATTCTGATGATTGTGTTTCTCTGGTGGTTTTTTTTTAGTTTGAAATTTTTCCAAATTTAGTTTTTTTTATTCGAGATTTTTTCACACATTTTGAAGTTTTTCTTTTTGAGATCTATAAACTAAGGGGTGTTACTCATTTTCGTACTAGTGGGGGTTATAATTTGGTGGCAGCCTCAAGCTGTAAAGGTTCCAATGTGCCGTGTTCATTGATTGAATGAAGCACAAGAACTGCTAGAGCCCAACGGCTAAAGTGCAGACGTTTCTTCGCTTCATATGTCAATCATGTGAACGATGTTACATATTCAGAGTAACTTTTTAGCTCTGTTTGAGTTTTAAATTCAAGCTAGGTGGTTGTGGGTAAAACAGATTTGATCGAAGAAAAATGATGTGTTAGCAGGTGTTTGCAAGAAAAAGCGATTTATCTATCTATGTCTATCTATCTATATCTATACTATATTTAAATGGAGTGACAGCTATCTCCCATGTTTAAGCATAATAATTTTGCATGTTTAACGAACGATTTTTTTCATGTTTAAGCTATATCATATATTGCAATGCTTTAGAAAGTTTTCCAATTTGTTTTTCGCAAAGTCATTAATTTTTCAGTATTTTTTTTCGAGGCCAAATTAAGTCTGTCTCTCTGTATACCTGCTTTTTAAATTAATTTGATTATGTCTGTCTACCCGTCGCTTAATTTTTTCAATTTTCATCTATTATCTGTCTATTATTTATTATCTATCTATCTATTATTTCTTTAAATGCGGGCTTCACTATCTCGCCATGTTTAAGCTTTTCCAACGTATTATTTTTGCATGTTTAACAAATAAAGTTGTTCACGTTTAAGCTATATCGTATAATCTTCCAGTTTAATTTCAGTGTTTATTCGAAGTTTGAAATTAGCAACCCAATAGTAGGATATTGTCTATTAGTTCTTTGAATGCGGGCTTCACTATCTCGCCATGTTTAAGCTTTTCCAACGTATTATTTTTGCATGTTTAACAAAAAAATTTGTTCACGTTTAAGCTATATCATAAATTGAAATGGTTTTTTTTTTTTCGATTTTCCAATTTAGTTTCAGTGTTTATTCCAAGTTTGAAGTTAGCAACCCAATAGTAGGATATTGTCAGAGGTTTCCCAGGTTTTGCAATTCTGGCCTCCAAATGTGAATAACCAAATTCTTTTAGTTTACGAGATAGGCAATTTTCGAGGTTTTTTCAAAAAAATTATGTCTGCTCAAATCTTTGTAGTTTTCGAGATATGACGTTTTTTTTTGAATTTTTTCAAATTTTTCAGAAAAATTAGATATAACAAATTTCACAAAACTTGAAGTTACCATCTCTGTAGTGAGCCGCCGTCAGGGTACTCTCAGGAGTTGCGAATTTCGCCGCCAATTATGACTGCTCAAATCCTTGTAGTTTTCGAGATATCATTTTTTTTAAACGATTTTCTCAGAAATTTTCAAAAAAACTGAAATGTTAAAAAATTCCAAAACTTTGAAGATCTCAGTCCTGTTATTGGAATCTGTGAGGGTAATCTAAGGAGGTTGCGAATCTTGCCTCTGAATAGGACTGCTCAAAATCTTGCAGGTTTCCAGATATGACGTTTTCTGTGATTTTTCAAAAAAATTTTCATGTTTTTTTTCCAAAGTTTGAAGTTCTTAACCTGTAGTTGATGGGCTGTCAGAGTAATCTCAGGGGTTGCAAATTTGGCCTTCTATTAAGAATGCCCAAATCAATTTTTTTCAGGATAAGATGATTTTTGTGATTTTTTTTTTTAGAAATTTTCAGAAAACTCAAATGACAAAATATTTCGTTAAAGTGAAATTCCCAACCCTGTAGTTGCGTGCTTTCAAAAACTGCGAATATTGCCATCAAAAAAGACTTTTCAAATTTTGATAGTGTTCGAAATTTGGTTTTTTTTTCGTTTTCAAAAAAAAATACCTCTTTTAGAAAACTCAAGGTGAAGTTTCTCAAAATTTGAATTTCCCAACGGTGTAGTTGGGTACTGTAAGGGTACTCTCAGGAGTTGCAAATCTTGCGTCCAAATGCGACTGCTCAATTGCTCACAGTTCCCAGATGTGAAATGCCTTAGTTCAATTTGATTTTTTTGAAGAACTTGTATAAAACTTCATAAAATTTTATCGTTCTTCAAAATTTGTATAAAAAACTTGAATAAAAAAATTTGTGAAATTTTTAATTACGAACCCTGTAATTGGGTGCTGTCAGAGTAAACTCAATGAATAGTTTTTGAGTTGTTGAAATTTTGAAGCACCGGAGGTGCGGTACTCGCTAGTTATATATTTAAATGCGGGTTTCACTATCTCACCATGTGTAACCTTTTTCAAAGTATTATTATTGCATGTTTAACGAAAGAATTTTTGCAACTTTAAGCTATATCTGTAGTGGGGTGCCGTCAGGGTTCTCTCAGGGGTTGCAACTCTTGTCTCAAAATCTGACTGCTTAGATCTTTTTAATTACCGACATAGGAAGTTTTTTAAGGTTTTTTAATTTATTTTTTCACAACTTAGATGCGTTAAAAACTTAACAAAAGTTGATATTACCAGTCCTTTAGTAGCAGGTTCTGTCAAGTTGCTCTCAGACATTGCAAATTTCCCTCCAAAAATGACTGCTGAAATCATTTAAGTTTCCAAGACATGACGTTTTTTCAATAATTCTTAAAAAGTTTTCAAAAATTTTGATTTGAAAGAATTATGCGAAATTTTGAATTCCTAACCCTAAAATGGGTGATCTCAAGGTACTTACAGAGGCTGCAATTTTTTTTGGACTGCTTAAATAATCTTTGTTTGCGAGATAGCCATTTTTTATGATTTTTCATACCTTTTCAAAAACTAAATCTTTTCAAAATTTAACAACGTTAGTTCACAAAGTTTTGATGGGATGCTGCTGAAGCATTCTCAGGAAGTTTTTATAGACCCCAAACATGACTGCCCAACGCTTTTAAATTTCCTAGGTATGAATTCTGATTAATTTTTCATGATTTTTGAAAAAAAATTGACTTTTAAGTTCCAAATTTTTTTCTAAATTTGAAATTGTCCACGCATTCGTGGAGTGAAGTCAGGTTACTACCATCACTTACAGATTTGGCCTACACCCCAATTTTATAGCTCGAATTGTTCACTTTGCTGAAATTGAGGTTTTTTGTCTGATTTTTCAAAAGTTTTCATTGAACTATCATTTAAACTAAGAAAAAAGTCTGCTGTTTTAAATAAAAAAGAACTAAGTTCAACAAATGTCTCATTCATGAATTCAGTGATTTTGCCAATGAATTTGTTAAATATGGGGAGTTTATTTGAATGCTATCAGCTATTCTGAAATCCAGTATTTGAAACCCAGTAGCTTCAGAGATTTGACCACTTTAGTTTATAAACATTTCATTTAGAATTTTTTTGTTCATTTTTTTAAAAACGCGCCCGTCCCTTCTCTTCTTATGATTGCATTCCTTTAGTTGTTTTTTTTTCATTTATTTTGTATACAAGCTGTTTTCACGTTAAATGCCCTATTTGAAGCACCGGAGGTGCGTTACAAGCTGGTATACTTGATTTCATGCCAACGCTAATCCTTGCTTAATCGTATGAAGAAAAATTTTTCGACCGAAACGACCTACTGTTAGTTTTCAGAAGAAATGGATCTGGCAAGTTTGTCATCACACATTAGCCAACAACGTCAGAATGTGGAGTTAGAGAAAGCAAAACAATCGTTTACAGTTAAAACGGGCGTTTACTATGATACAAGTGGACAACGTCATACCACTAATGACCCTGGCATTCATTTTACGGAAGCCGATCCGGTTATTTTGCAGCTGGCTCAAACTGGCAAAGCAATACCCGGCTCTGGTGTTTTAGAACGTAAACCTCTCAGTGAATCACAGAAAACAGCCCTTTACAAAGCAAAAAAGTATGCAATTGAATTGAGTTTGAAAAATGTTATTATGAAACAGAGCATGGTTCATCAACAACAACGTGTTCAGAGTCTGCAACTCGCCGCAAACAAGGAGAGAGCCATGAGTCTCATGTGTCGAATCTACATTGGATCAGTCTACTATGAGGCAAACGAAGATGCAGTGTCTGGGATGTTCTCACCGTTTGGACCTCTTAAAAGTGTCTGCATGACTTGGGATAATGTTACAGGTATAAATCTCTGAACTTGTTTTCACTGGAAGTCTATCTTCTATAAATCAACTAGCCGTTTTAAACGGCGTTTCATTGCTACTATTATTTGTGCAGACTTTACCAATGTAGATTTAACACTACATAAACTGTCTATTCGAGCGGTCTTAATTGTCCTGTAAAATCAATGAGTATGATTGAAATAAGTACAGCAAGCATTAGTTATTCGAAATGAGTTACATAGAAGCCCTTTTAGTCGTGATTTGAGCTGCATCTTTTGCTTTGGACGGTTCCGATTCCTGAGTGAATGATTGCGACTGGAAATATTAGTCATATATATAGATCAACTGATTATTGTCATTCAATTCCACGCGAAATTCCTCAGAGAAAAACGAAAAGATAAAGGTTAACAAATTTGGCTGCTACTATAACATTCTATCCTACTTGCAAATCATCAGTCTATTCTTGTTGTGAAGAGACTTTAATTGCCTCAGTTTAGACCTACTTATGGACGAAGTTTTTTTTGGAATAATTTAATATTTAATTATGTTTTGTTTTTATTAGGTAGACATAAAGGTTTCTGTTTCCTTGAGTATGACATACCCGAAGCAGCACAACTCGCTCTTGAGTAGATGAACAATGCAATGTTGGGAGGGAGAACAATTAAGGTGGGCCGACCTTCTAATATGCCACAAGCTATGCCGATCATCGAGCAAATCATTGAGGAGTCTAAAAACTATAGCCGAATTTTCGTTTCCTCACTGCATCCCGCTCTGAATGAAAACGACGTCAGAAGTGTATTCGAGAGCTTCGGAAATATTGTGAATATAAATATGCCTCGAAAACTAGACGAAGATCACTGTCCGCATAAAGGATACGCCTTCATAGAGTACGACTCACATAAAGCATGCAATGACGCCATAGCAGGGATGAACATGTTCGATTTAGGAGGTCAATTGCTTAGAGTCGGTAAGGCGATTACTCCTCCGGACCCCCTACTGAGCTTCCTAGGTCCTGCAATTTTGACACCCGATGAGCAGTTGGCCCAGTCTATTAAAACTGCTCGTCAGGCCGCAGCTAACTATTGCGGTATTTCAGAAGCATTGCAAAGCCAACAATTTACAGTCATAGCTCAGGAATGTCTCGACGAAGTAGGAGTTGATCTTTCGGATTTGAACGACCTGGTTCCTCCAGGAATGTCCTTGAAGGTCATCAAGCAGCAAGAAAGGATGAAGGAAGAACAAGATATGGTTCCTGAGGTGGATACTGATGCTCTGCAGGACTTCGTGGTTCCTGACTTGACGAGTGGCAACACCATTAACTACGGTTTGTCAATCTATCTATCTATACTATATTTAAATGCGAGTGACAGCTATCTCCCATGTTTAAGCCTGATAGTTTTGCATGTTTAACGAAAGAATTTTTTCATGTTTAAGCTATAGCATATATTGCAATGCTTAAGAAAATTTTTCATTTAGTTTTTCACAAGGTCATTAATTTGTCAGTATTTGTTTTCGAGGCGAAATTAAGTCTTTCTGTCTGTATACCTGCTTTTTAAATTAATTTGATAATGTGTGTCTACCCGTCGCCTAATTTTTGAACTTTCATCTATTATCTATCTATCTATTATATATTTAAATGCGGGCTTCACTATCTCGCCATATTTAAGCTTTTTCAACGTATTATTTTTGCATGTGTTGCAACCCCCAGGGTAATCTGAGGGGTTGCGAATCTTGCCTCAAATTCCCACTTCTCAAGTCCTTGTAGTTTTCGAGATATGACGTTTTTTATGATTTTTTCAAAAACTTAGATTTTAAAAAAATCCAAAAAGTTGAATCTCAAGCCTGTAGTTGGATATTGTGAGAGTACTTTCTGGTGTTGCGAAATTTGCCTTTGATTATGGCTATTCCAATCGTTGTAGTTTTCGAGATATGACGTTTTTTTTTGGATTTTTCAAAATTTTTCAGAAAAATTAGATCAAACAAAAATTTCACAAAACTTGAAATAACCATCTCTGTAGTGAGGCTCTGTCTGGGTACTCTCAGGAGTTAGGATTTTTGCCTCCCATTAGGACTGTGAATTTTGCCTCCAAATAGGACTGCTCAAAATCTTGCAGTTTTCCAGGTATGACCTTTTTTGTGATTTAAAAAAAATTTCATGAAAATTAATTAAATTTTTTTTTGAAAGTTCGAAATTCCTAAGCTGTAGTTGGGGGGGGGGCTGTCAGAGTAATCTCAGGGGTCGTAAATTTGACCTCCAATTAAGAATACCCAAATCATTTTTGTATTAGAGATACGACGATTTTTGTGATTTTTTTTTTAATTTTCGGAAAACTCAAAATTACAAAATAATTTGTTATTGTTACAGTAAAATTCTCAACCCTGTAGTTGTGTACTTTCAAAGATTGCGAATTTTGCCATCAAAGAAAATTGCTCAAACTTTGGTAGTTTTCGAGATGTGATTTTTTTCTGGTTTTCAATAAGGTGAAGTTTCTCAAAATTTGAATTGCCCAACATTGTGGTTGGGCACTGTAAGAGTACTCTCAGGAGTTGCAAATCTTGCGTCTAAATGGGACTGCTCAATTGCTTTCAGTTTTCCAGATGTGACGTTTCTTAATACATTATATACTTAGATATAAAAATGTCACAAATTTTAATGGTTTTTTCAAAATTTGAATTAAAAAATCGAATTAAAAATTTTACAAAATTTGAAGTTACTCTCAGGAGTTGTAAATCTTGCGTCCAAATGCGACTGCTCAAGTCGTTTTAAATTTTTCGAAGAACTTGTATAAATTTTACCTAAATTTTATGGTTCTTCAAAATTTGTATAAAAAACTTGAATAAAAAACGTTGCAAAATTTTTAATTACGAACCCTGCAATTATGTGCTGTCAGATTGCTTTCAAAGAACAGTTTTTTTGAGTTGTTGAAAATTCGAAGCACCGGAGGTGCGGTACACGCTAGTTGAATATTACTTTTTGCTCCTATTAATCATGAACACATAAATAAGAAGTTTAAATAGCACGGTTTCAAACGAAACTGGGATGTAAGCAGAACTTGCATCTGTAAGCAGAACCTCTATTGTAAGCGGATGTAACCAGAACCTCTACTAAATTCGTTAAGAGTTTTCTGTAAAGACTGAAGCGGCTTTTAGATAATTTTATGTGATGATATCTGAAATTAAATCGTTTGCAGTTTAAAAATTGATGATAAATACTTTTGTAATATGAAGAACCTCGGCTTTGAAACAACCAAGATCATAGTCGAAAAGGTCATTCAATTTTTCTGATCGTTTCATTTTGACCACTCTTGGGATGTGTGGGTTGGGTCATGTCGCTTTTTTGCTTTTCCCGTAAATAAGAAGGAAGCTTGTTTTGAGATCCAATGTTTTTTTTTGATAGTGTCTTAACTCTATTTGTATTTGTTTGACTAAAAATCAACAATGCTATAGCTCAGGAAGATGGAGGTCATATTTTGTTAAGGCTAAAATTACGACTGGATTTTGGCTTGCATGAAAACTTGTTCTTGTTGGCTTATGATCAGAGCAAGGTTGTTGATTAGTATCTTCACTTTTTTCTAGTATCCTCACTTTTTCGTATTCATTATTTGCAGCTCATATCTTTGCAATTAGTTTTCGAAAGTTTTCGGTTATTATGTTTTAGTCATAATTTACTTCACTGATATGATGTCGTAGTTGATTTTTTTTATAGAGAGTGGGAGAAGATCATTTTTCTATCAAGGTTAAGAAAGCTTCTCACATAGAAAGATAGAAGATTGGCTTGTTTTAATCAGTCCGATTCACTTTCTGTTGCCGTAATTGGGTTTTCCACAAATTCAACCCTCGTCTTTTATTTCCAGTTTCAAATTTCAAGTTCTTAGGTTGTTGGTCAATTTGTTGTTCAGTTATTTAGAATAGTCTTTTCTGCAGGCAACCGTTTACGAGTTTGAAGAACAAAAATTGAATTTCAGTTATGTATATTTCAAGATGGAGTAGTGGTGAGATGTAAAAGCTTCAAGCTTTAATTTTAAGCGCTCAAAAAAATTTTTCTGGTAACTATTTATTTGTGTGGATTTATAAACAGCAATTTCGGCTCAACATGCGTCTAACCAACTTTTGTTGCTCACTAGCCACTCCGTAAATGAATTCTTATTTAATTCTGATGATTGTGTTTCTCTGGTGGTTTTTTTTAGTTTGAAATTTTTCCAAATTTAGTTTTTTTTATTCGATATTTTTTCACACATTTTGAAGTTTTTCTTTTTGAGATCTATAAACTAAGGGGTGTTACTCATTTTCGTACTAGTGGGGGTTATAATTTGGTGGCAGCCTCAAGCTGTAAAGGTTCCAATGTGCCGTGTTCATTGATTGAATGAAGCACAAGAACTGCTAGAGCCCAACGGCTAAAGTGCAGACGTTTCTTCGCTTCATATGTCAATCATGTGAACGATGTTACATATTCAGAGTAACTTTTTAGCTCTGTTTGAGTTTTAAATTCAAGCTAGGTGGTTGTGGGTAAAACAGATTTGATCGAAGAAAAATGATGTGTTAGCAGGTGTTTGCAAGAAAAAGCGATTTATCTATCTATGTCTATCTATCTATATCTATACTATATTTAAATGGAGTGACAGCTATCTCCCATGTTTAAGCATAATAATTTTGCATGTTTAACGAACGATTTTTTTCATGTTTAAGCTATATCATATATTGCAATGCTTTAGAAAGTTTTCCAATTTGTTTTTCGCAAAGTCATTAATTTTTCAGTATTTTTTTTCGAGGCCAAATTAAGTCTGTCTGTCTGTATACCTGCTTTTTAAATTAATTTGATTATGTCTGTCTACCCGTCGCTTAATTTTTTCAATTTTCATCTATTATCTGTCTATTATTTATTATCTATCTATCTATTATTTCTTTAAATGCGGGCTTCACTATCTCGCCATGTTTAAGCTTTTCCAACGTATTATTTTTGCATATTTAACAAATAAAGTTGTTCACGTTTAAGCTATATCGTATAATCTTCCAGTTTAATTTCAGTGTTTATTCGAAGTTTGAAATTAGCAACCCAATAGTAGGATATTGTCTATTAGTTCTTTGAATGCGGGCTTCACTATCTCGCCATGTTTAAGCTTTTCCAACGTATTATTTTTGCATGTTTAACAAAAAAATTTGTTCACGTTTAAGCTATATCATAAATTGAAATGGTTGTTTTTTTTTCGATTTTCCAATTTAGTTTCAGTGTTTATTCCAAGTTTGAAGTTAGCAACCCAATAGTAGGATATTGTCAGAGGTTTCCCAGGTTTTGCGATTCTGGCCTCCAAATGTGAATAACCAAATTTTTTTAGTTTACGAGATAGGCAATTTTCGAGGTTTTTTCAAAAAAATTATGTCTGCTCAAATCTTTGTAGTTTTCGAGATATGACGTTTTTTTTTGAATTTTTTCAAATTTTTCAGAAAAATTAGATATAACAAATTTCACAAAACTTGAAGTTACCATCTCTGTAGTGAGCCGCCGTCAGGGTACTCTCAGGAGTTGTGAATTTCGCCGCCAATTATGACTGCTCAAATCCTTGTAGTTTTCGAGATATCATTTTTTTAAACGATTTTCTCAGAAATTTTCAAAAAAACTGAAATGTTAAAAAATTCCAAAACTTTGAAGATCTCAGTCCTGTTATTGGAATCTGTGAGGGTAATCTAAGGAGGTTGCGAATCTTGCCTCTGAATAGGACTGCTCAAAATCTTGCAGTTTTCCAGATATGACGTTTTCTGTGATTTTTCAAAAAAATTTTCATGTTTTTTTTCCAAAGTTTGAAGTTCTTAACCTGTAGTTGATGGGCTGTCAGAGTAATCTCAGGGGTTGCAAATTTGGCCTTCTATTAAGAATGCCCAAATCAATTTTTTTCAGGATAAGATGATTTTTGTGATTTTTTTTTTTAGAAATTTTCAGAAAACTCAAATGACAAAATATTTCGTTAAAGTGAAATTCCCAACCCTGTAGTTGCGTGCTTTCAAAAACTGCGAATATTGCCATCAAAAAAGACTTTTCAAATTTTGATAGTGTTCGAAATTTGGTTTTTTTTTTTCGTTTTCAAAAAAAAATACCTCTTTTAGAAAACTCAAGGTGAAGTTTCTCAAAATTTGAATTTCCCAACGGTGTAGTTGGGTACTGTAAGGGTACTCTCAGGAGTTGCAAATCTTGCGTCCAAATGCGACTGCTCAATTGCTCACAGTTCCCAGATGTGAAATGCCTTAGTTCAATTTGATTTTTTTGAAGAACTTGTATAAAACTTCATAAAATTTTATCGTTCTTCAAAATTTGTATAAAAAACTTGAATAAAAAAATTTGTAAAATTTTTAATTACGAACCCTGTAATTGGGTGCTGTCAGAGTTAACTCAATGAATAGTTTTTGAGTTGTTGAAATTTTGAAGCACCGGATGTGCGGTACTCGCTAGTTATATATTTAAATGCGGGTTTCACTATCTCACCATGTGTAACCTTTTTCAAAGTATTATTATTGCATGTTTAACGAAAGAATTTTTGCAACTTTAAGCTATATCTGTAGTGGGGTGCCGTCAGGGTTCTCTCAGGGGTTGCAACTCTTGTCTCAAAATCTGACTGCTTAGATCTTTTTAATTACCGACATAGGAAGTTTTTTAAGGTTTTTTAATTTATTTTTTCACAACTTAGATGCGTTAAAAACTTAACAAAAGTTGATATTACCAGTCCTTTAGTAGCAGGTTCTGTCAAGTTGCTCTCAGACATTGCAAATTTCCCTCCAAAAATGACTGCTGAAATCATTTAAGTTTCCAAGACATGACGTTTTTTCAATAATTCTTAAAAAGTTTTCAAAAATTTTGATTTGAAAGAATTATGCGAAATTTTGAATTCCTAACCCTAAAATGGGTGATCTCAAGGTACTTACAGAGGCTGCAATTTTTTTTGGACTGCTTAAATAATCTTTGTTTGCGAGATAGCCATTTTTTATGATTTTTCATACCTTTTCAAAAACTAAATCTTTTCAAAATTTAACAACGTTAGTTCACAAAGTTTTGATGGGATGCTGCTGAAGCATTCTCAGGAAGTTTTTATAGACCCCAAACATGACTGCCCAACGCTTTTAAATTTCCTAGGTATGAATTCTGATTAATTTTTCATGATTTTTGAAAAAAAATTGACTTTTAAGTTCCAAATTTTTTTCTAAATTTGAAATTGTCCACGCATTCGTGGAGTGAAGTCAGGTTACTACCATCACTTACAGATTTGGCCTACACCCCAATTTTATAGCTCGAATTGTTCACTTTGCTGAAATTGAGGTTTTTTGTCTGATTTTTCAAAAGTTTTCATTGAACTATCATTTAAACTAAGAAAAAAGTCTGCTGTTTTAAATAAAAAAGAACTAAGTTCAACAAATGTCTCATTCATGAATTCAGTGATTTTGCCAATGAATTTGTTAAATATGGGGAGTTTATTTGAATGCTATCAGCTATTCTGAAATCCAGTATTTGAAACCCAGTAGCTTCAGAGATTTGACCACTTTAGTTTATAAACATTTCATTTAGAATTTTTTTGTTCATTTTTTTTAAAACGCGCCCGTCTCTTCTTATGATTGCATTCCTTTAGTTGTTTTTTTTTTCATTTATTTTGTATACAAGCTGTTTTCACGTTAAATGCCCTATTTGAAGCACCGGAGGTGCGTTACAAGCTGGTATACTTGATTTCATGCCAACGCTAATCCTTGCTTAATCGTATGAAGAAAAATTTTTCGACCAAAACGACCTACTGTTAGTTTTCAGAAGAAATGGATCTGGCAAGTTTGTCATCACACATTAGCCAACAACGTCAGAATGTGGAGTTAGAGAAAGCAAAACAATCGGTTACAGTTAAAACGGGCGTTTACTATGATACAAGTGGACAACGTCATACCACTAATGACCCTGGCATTCATTTTACGGAAGCCGATCAAGTTATTTTGCAGCTGGCTCAAACTGGCAAAGCAATACCCGGCTCTGGTGTTTTAGAACGTAAACCTCTCAGTGAATCACAGAAAACAGCCCTTTACAAAGCAAAAAAGTATGCAATTGAATTGAGTTTGAAAAATGTTATTATGAAACAGAGCATGGTTCATCAACAACAACGTGTTCAGAGTCTGCAACTCGCCGCAAACAAGGAGAGAGCCATGAGTCTCATGTGTCGAATCTACATTGGATCAGTCTACTATGAGGCAAACGAAGATGCAGTGTCTGGGATGTTCTCACCGTTTGGACCTCTTAAAAGTGTCTGCATGACTTGGGATAATGTTACAGGTATAAATCTCTGAACTTGTTTTCACTGGAAGTCTATCTTCTATAAATCAACTAGCCGTTTTAAACGGCGTTTCATTGCTACTATTATTTGTGCAGACTTTACCAATGTAGATTTAACACTACATAAACTGTCTATTCGAGCGGTCTTAATTGTCCTGTAAAATCAATGAGTATGATTGAAATAAGTACAGCAAGCATTAGTTATTCGAAATGAGTTACATAGAAGCCCTTTTAGTCGTGATTTGAGCTGCATCTTTTGCTTTGGACGGTTCCGATTCCTGAGTGAATGATTGCGACTGGAAATATTAGTCATATATATAGATCAACTGATTATTGTCATTCAATTCCACGCGAAATTCCTCAGAGAAAAACGAAAAGATAAAGGTTAACAAATTTGGCTGCTACTATAACATTCTATCCTACTTGCAAATCATCAGTCTATTCTTGTTGTGAAGAGACTTTAATTGCCTCAGTTTAGACCTACTTATGGACGAAGTTTTTTTTGGAATAATTTAATATTTAATTATGTTTTGTTTTTATTAGGTAGACATAAAGGTTTCTGTTTCCTTGAGTATGACATACCCGAAGCAGCACAACTCGCTCTTGAGCAGATGAACAATGCAATGTTGGGAGGGAGAACAATTAAGGTGGGCCGACCTTCCAATATGCCACAAGCTATGCCGATCATCGAGCAAATCATTGAGGAGTCTAAAAACTATAGCCGAATCTTCGTTTCCTCACTGCATCCCGCTCTGAATGAAAACGACGTCAGAAGTGTATTCGAGAGCTTCGGAAATATTGTGAATATAAATATGCCTCGAAAACTAGACGAAGATCACTGTCCGCATAAAGGATACGCCTTCATAGAGTACGACTCACATAAAGCATGCAATGACGCCATAGCAGGGATGAACATGTTCGATTTAGGAGGTCAATTGCTTAGAGTCGGTAAGGCGATTACTCCTCCGGACCCCCTACTGAGCTTCCTTGGCCCTGCAATTTTGACACCCGATGAGCAGTTGGCCCAGTCTATTAAAACTGCTCGTCAGGCCGCAGCTAACTATTGCGGTATTTCAGAAGCATTGCAAAGCCAACAATTTACAGTCATAGCTCAGGAATGTCTCGACGAAGTAGGAGTTGATCTTTCGGATCTGAACGACCTGGTTCCTCCAGGAATGTCCTTGAAGGTCATCAAGCAGCAAGAAAGAATGAAGGAAGAACAAGATATGGTTCCTGAGGTGGATACTGATGCTCTGCAGGACTTCGTGGTTCCTGACTTGACGACTGGCAACACCATTAACTACGGTTTGTCAATCTATCTATCTATACTATATTTAAATGTGAGTGACAGCTATCTCCCATGTTTAAGCCTAATAATTTTGCATGTTTAACGAAAGAATTTTTTCATCATATATAGCATATATTGCAATGCTTAAGAAAATTTTTCATTTAGTTTTTCACAAGGTCATTAATTTGTCAGTATTTGTTTTCGAGGCGAAATTAAGTCTGTCTGTCTGTATACCTGCTTTTTAAATTAATTTGATAATGTCTGTCTACCCGTCGCCTAATTTTTGAACTTCCATCTATTATCTATCTATCTATTATATATTTAAATGCGGGCTTCACTATCTCGCCATGTTTAAGCTTTTTCAACGTATTATTTTAGCATGTGTTGCAACCCCCAGGGTAATATGGGGGGTTGCGAATCTTGCCTCAAATTCCCACTTCTCAAGTCGTTGTAGTTTTCGAGATATGACGTTTTTTATGATTTTTTCAAAAATTTAGATTTTAAAAAAATCCAAAAAGTTGAATTTCAAGCCTGTAGTTGGATATTGTGAGAGTACTTTCTGGGGTTGCGAAGTTTGCCTTTGATTATGGCTATTCCAATCGTTGTAGTTTTCGAGATATGACGTTTTTTTTGGATTTTTTCAAAATTTTTCAGAAAAATTAGATCAAACAAAAATTTCACAAAACTTGAAATTACCATCTCTGTAGTGAGGCTCTGTCTGGGTACTCTCAGGAGTTAGGATTTTTGCCTCCCATTAGGACTGTGAATTTTGCCTCCAAATAGGACTGCTCAAAATCTTGCAGTTTTCGAGATATGACCTTTTTTGTGATTTAAAAAATATTTCATGAAAATTAATTTAATTTTTTTTGAAAGTTCGAAATTCCTAAGCTGTAGTTGGGGGGGGGGGGCTGTCAGAGTAATCTCAGGGGTCGTAAATTTGACCTCCAATTAAGAATACCCAAATCATTTTTGTATAAGAGATACGACGATTTTAGTGATTGTTTTTTTAAATTTTCGGAAAACTCAAAATTACAAAATAATTTGTTATTGTTACAGTAAAATTCCCAGCCCTGTAGTTGTGTACTTTCAAAGATTGCGAATTTTGCCATCAAAGAGAATTGCTCAAACTTTGGTAGTTTTCGAGTTGTGATTTTTTTCTGGTTTTCAATAAGGTGAAGTTTCTCAAAATTTGAATTGCCCAACATTGTGGTTGGGCACTGTAAGAGTATTCTCAGGAGTTGCAAATCTTGCGTCTAAATGGGACTGCTCAATTGCTTTCAGTTTTCCAGATGTGACGTTTCTTAATACATTATATACTTAGATATAAAAATGTCACAAATTTTAATGGTTTTTTCAAAATTTGAATTAAAAAATCGAACTAAAAATTTTACAAAATTTGAAGTTACTCTCAGGAGTTGTAAATCTTGCGTCCAAATGCGACTGCTCAAGTCATTTTAAATTTTTCGAAGAATTTGTATAAATTTTACCAAAGTTTTATGGTTCTTCAAAATTTGTATAAAAAACTTGAATAAAGAACTTTGCAAAATTTTTAATTACGAATCCTGTAATTGGGTGCTGTCAGATTACACTCAAAGAACAGTATTTTTTTGAGTTGTTGAAAATTCGAAGCACCGGAGGTGCGGTACACGCTAGTTGAATATTAGTTTTTGCTGCACACTCAATTACTTTTTGCTCCTATTAATCATGAACACATATAAATAAGAAGTTTAAATAGCACGGTTTCAAACGAAACTGGGATGTAAGCAGAACTTGCATCTGTAAGCAGAACCTCTATTGTAAGCGGATGTAACCAGAACCTCTACTAATTTCGATAAGAGTTTTCTGTAAAGACTGAAGCGGCTTTAAGATAATTTTATGTGATGATATCTGAAATTAAATTGTTTGCAATTTCAGTTGATCCAAATTTTCGTATTCGTGGTTGCTAGGCCACAGCTTTTGAATCATGTTAGTAGTAAGTTAAAAAAGCAACTTTTATCTGACGTATCCAGCGTTTTAAGGCTGTTATTCAAATAATTGCCTAATAAGTTCATTTTATGGCGATTCAATTCCTTGTTTTTTAGGGGAAACAGTTGTTCCCGTAATCACTGTACCTACACCTTCCGATCAGGCTCCTGATCCACAACAACCAATGCAGCAATACATTCCGCCTAAACAGGAGCTGATTCAGAAACAGCCTGAGCCGCAGCCAGAAATGGAAGCTGAGTTTTCGACGTCACTCAGTGCCCAGGAGGAGATAAGTATTTCGGGAGGGGGAGCCAGACAGCGGTTGATGCAGAAGCTAATGCGTGAGACCAGATCGAGAACTATAGTGTTACGTAATATGGTGACTGTGGATGAGATAGATGAGTACCTGGAGGATGAGATTACAGAGGAGTGTTCTAAATATGGCAAGGTGTCCAAGGTGCTGATATATCAAGAACAACAGGTATATATATATATATTTTTTTCAGTTTCAAAATCATTATGGCAAGCATTATCAAATCGAAATATAGACTTTTTCAGGCAAAGAATTAGCTCAACAAAATCACTTGCATCATTTGTAAAGTGTTATAATCACTGACACCGATACAATGGTACTTCCAGTAATATTGGAACCTGATCTAAACTACATTTTATGATTGGATAAATTAGATATTTTACCACTGTAAAGTATTTAATATTAACCAATCATGATCCATCTAACTAACAACCCACTTATTTGTAAGTGCTGAAATTACTTGTAATTTCAGCACCAGAGAGATTTGAATTTAACTTAGAAATTAGTTGACTCTCCAAGCGAACTTCAGCAGCCGCAATAAACCAGTATACCCTAGATCTATTGAGCCTAGCAGAGACTAGTTAAACAACCTGAGACTAGATAGTATAAGAGTAAGATTAGGATCGGTATTAGACTAAGAAGTTGCACGAATCTATCCGGCCGAAAATAAGATAGCGTGACGAGCAGACGGTGTACCCTATCCGAAATTACTCTATGAGTTAACCACCTCGGTTATAACTCATCTGGTGCAATAGGTCCCAGATATTGAAACCCCTGACAAATTTGCAGACTCTGAACCATCTCCATCCAATAATTTTCAAACCAACTCCTCAGTTTTTTCAAAACCCCCTTTTCAACCAATCCCGCCAAATAACCCACTCCCATCGATTTCTACACCCTCTTATGCTTCACAAGTCACCCCAACCTACTCTTCATTTCATTCAGACCGATCATCCAATTCTCCAGATACTCCCCAAATCTCCCAGGAACTAGATAATTTTATCACCCTACAACAACAACCCTTCCACCTTGAACATTCCACTATAAATCAGATTTCATCCACAATAGAATCATCAAACCCACCTACCCCTACACCCTCTTCAGCTTATACCGCATCATTAGCACCATCCTCCACATCCACCGAGTCATCAAATAGCACTAATAGAGCTTATCGCACTTTTAAAAGAAAATTCCCGAACCATCCATTTCCAACAAAACCAGGAACAGCCCGTGAATATATTAATCATCCAAATCACACTAACACGAAAGATTTTTTAGCCATCACCCTACCTTCATTTCCACAGTATACTTTAAACACCCCTAACGACACTAACAACACACGCAGTTTTGTAGATGAACACGTTTTAATGCCTACACTTCAATGGACATCATATTATCATTTTACTAACCCCCTTTGCCTACCTTTATCTAATACTCACATCGATATAGAAAGAAATAAAGATATGCTATATCGACTCACCACACCATTATCACATAGACAATTTACTTATATAGGATATAAAAAGTCACTAAAAACATACACTGCACCCCGAGCTAACGAATACACGCTAGAATATTACGATCACAACATCATCCGAACTAACCAAGACCAATTTTTAGATGATGACCGTTTCGCTAACCCACAAATCACAGAAAAATTTTTCATCAAAACACCTTATGTATTTACACTCAATATATTTGATCGCAAATTCGACCACATCATTTCTGAAGCACTAACCGACACACAAGCTTACGAAAGTTTTAAAGAAAAATTTCAATTATTTTCACTAACCTTTCATTTCCTTGCACCACATGAAAGAGATTTGCACTGCTCACACGACATTATGTTACGCACTAAACAAACCCACACATATACATATTATCGCTTCATACAAAATCACTTTGATCTACACACTCCATCAAGACAACCACACCACCGATTTCAATTTATTAACTCTAAGTACACTTCACCATTTTTTCTTAACTTCACATATTGCATCAAAGATACTAACCTTCACGGTATTCTTCGCAATTATGATCCCATAACCCAAATGTATATTTTTTGTCCCATCACGAAGACCTTCAACGCAGAAGAATCCAGACCCTTCCTTATCCCACATGAATTTGTTCAACAAATAGAAATCCCCATATTAGAATTCATCCACAACACTAAATATAACCACAAATTATATAAACTCATCCAAAACACACCTTATGATTTTGCAGTTGGCACTGAAGAAGTAAAAACCATTAAAGCACTTCAATTGCTTTGGCCACTGCTTCAAACTAAAAACATCATTCGCATATTAGCAAAGTTACTAACAAATTCCGACATAATCCACGACATCTTCCCCCACGGTTTTTTCCCCGACGACTAACAGGTAAGTATAAATTCTCATATTCTTAACTAATAAATTAAAATAAAACACTAACCATTCTTTATCCATGTTTTATTTAGATTTTTAGTCTTCATCTCACGATCATCTGCAAAATACACAAAAGAAAAATAAAAAATAGAAAACTTCTTCAAATTGTTCAAAACTGTAATAATCTTTTGCACCAGCTAAATTAAATAAAGTTCATACCAATGTAGTAATTTAATTTATAAATTATTTCCCTAAAAGCAGTAATTCTAATAATGATGAAAATTTGTAACTTAATTTTTCCCCAAAACTAGCAGTAAAATTGAAATTCTATGTAGCAAATTGATAAGACGAAAATGCAGTACTAACCTTTTGATATTTCCATTCACTCGCACAAAAATTCTATCCAAACTCGCACAGCTCGCCCACGAAGAATTGTTTAAATAATGAATTTCAGTTTCAAGCTTTCACACTCAACAACTCTAACACACGATAACAAGTTTCAAACTTTCCTTTAACCCGGTTGGAAAGGAATTATATACTAAACAAAACTAACCAACGCAGCTTACTAAACACCACAACACATAGAATAACAGCATGACTAAGAAAAGGAAACCAACGGTACCCAAACCGGATTAACCCAGTTTAAAACTGGATAATTTATTCTTTTGAAGACTATTATAAAGTCTAAGAAAGAAATAATAAAACACAACAAAGTCGAAAGACAAACCCATACCAAAAACAATTTGATTTTTGAAAAAAGGACACAACCAACGAAATATAAGAAAAACCACAATAAACCCAACATAAAACGTTATCACACAACAGGACCCCTCACAGAAACCGCACGAAATCATACTCCCACTCCTGGCCTAACCCACCAGAGAGGACGTCCTGAGCATGCTCTATAGCCGGCCTAACCCACCGCGCTACATCCACGCTTTGTGACCACACTTCTATTTTTAATAAGAGGTACTCAAGGGTGAGTAACTCTTCAAAATAACAGAACTAAAACAAAAAGCTTTTGTGAAAACAACTAACCAAAATTATAATTAAAACACCAAACTAATAAAATTTTTATAAAATGTAAATTATACCTTGCAGTATATAGATCAGCATACAACACCAAAGACGAACATCCAAAGACAAAATGACCCCACTACACTCGAAAAAGAATGGCCAACCACAATCAATATGCCGCCCACAATCACAACTCAAAGGATTTAGAGTACGACTTGACTTCGCAGAAAAGGACTTCATTGAACTAGACCAATGACCACCTCGATGTTCAAGTATACGTACAGATCCGAGTAACCAGGCATCCCCTCCACGCACAATCTCCACGCCATTCCCAGACAAGGTCAACCCAAAAGAAGTTCTCTACATGGAACAGAAAAACCTGACATAGCCAACCATTCTGAAATCAGATTTGAGTTTGTTGCGAAAACCCAGTCGTTGTCATGAGAAGACACAGCGATTGAACCTGGAACTTCTCTGACAAGAGAACCCAGAAGAATTATGATGTTCGCCAAAAACCAACGTCCATCATCCATCCTTTGAATTGCAGAAAGACTATTCTAAAAAACTCTGTAAAACCCGGATGGGTGGAACCTGATCTAAACTACATTTTATGATTGGATAAATTAGATATTTTACCACTGTAAAGTATTTAATATTAACCAATCATGATCCATCTAACTAACAACCCACTTATTTGTAAGTGCTGAAATTACTTGTAATTTCAGCACCAGAGAGATTTGAATTTAACTTAGAAATTAGTTGACTCTCCAAGCGAACTTCAGCAGCCGCAATAAACCAGTATACCCTAGATCTATTGAGCCTAGCAGAGACTAGTTAAACAACCTGAGACTAGATAGTATAAGAGTAAGATTAGGATCGGTATTAGACTAAGAACTTGCACGAATCTATCCGGCCGAAAATAAGATAGCGTGACGAGCAGACGGTGTACCCTATCCGAAATTACTCTATGAGTTAACCACCTCGGTTATAACTCAATATAATCACTTCTGACATGCTCTATATTTTTTGAAAACTCGATTTTAACTTCTGCCCACTTGTAACTATTGGTAAATGCTATATCAAGAGTTCTAACCAATCTATGTATTATTACACTAGTGAAGTTTAATGAGCATACTTAAATAGTGCGACTATTCTTTTTTCCAACATAAGTCGCAAATATTGGTGGCACGCACGTCTACGATTTTTTGTTAGCATGTGCGTTGACATTCGATTAGTAAAAGGTTAACACCGTTGATGCATTTTTAAATCATCAAATGAACCGAAAAAAGCGATTTAATATAAACAACAATGATAAAAAAATTTCAACCCAATATTTTTCGCAATTTTTTGAAATTCACATTTTTTACCTCAATTTGGCTTGTTGCTTTCTAATTTCTTACATGCAAAGTTATGGTGAATGCCTGCAGTTTGTTATATTACAAATAATTACATGCAAAATTGCGTCTATTCGTATTTGCTGCCACTTTTGCTGCATCGCATTGGCAATTAATTAGCAAATGTAGCTGCTTCGTTTGTGACTAGTGTTTGCTAATTGCTAAGCGTTCGTGGCCGAGAGGGCAGAGTGTGAGACCCCAATTGTCGAGATCGCAGGTTCGAAGCCAATACGTAGCAAAGTTATATTAATTCGAGGCTAATTTCTATTTTTTTTATTTTACTTTATAAAGCTGCCATTTTGTGTTCTGGCTAGTGTTTGCGACGCGCAGCTTTGAGCTTTGCCTCTGTGTTGTAGTTATTGTGTATCGAGTTTCGATATAGTTTTTTGCTGATGTCGAGTTTTTTCCTTCTAAATTTGTTTGTTCAAAATTTTCAGTAGACTTGTATCGTATTCGGAGTCGGCTTAATTTCTGTTGCCTTATTCACCTGTTCTGTTTCGGTATTATTTTTGAGACCGATAAGACAATAATTTTTTTAATTTAATTAAACTGAAATAATACTAACCATGAAAAAGAATTGTTTGTTCTTCAAAATGGTTACATCTTTCGAAATACTCTCCTGGTATGTTTGTTAATAGAGCTTTTGTTACCTTTGAGCTAAGACATATTGCAATCGGTTATTAGACTTTTTTCCGGTAAACAACTTTGTTCACAGGACTCATTGCCTTGAAGGACCCATGGCCTTTCGATCTGGACTCATTTCCTTATCTCTCTAGCAAATAAGTTGTCGCTAGAGATATTGTGCTTGATGGGGTTTTCAATATCTGTCCTGTTTGTAATTGAACCAACTATCGTTTTTAATTTTGTTATAATTTCATTTATTTGTTGTCACTTTTTTTGTGTCGTTCGACGAGTGAAAAAGTTTTGTTCTGTGTATGTGTTTTGAGGGTGAGGGGGATTTGAGAACTTTTAAGTTTACTTCGGCTGTTAGTAATTTCTTGTCTTCGTACTTTTTTTGCTGCCCAAATGTTTTTGGCTTGTTTTTTATCGGCTTACTGAGCTAATGTTGAGTCGTTCCACGTAAAACGTAGATTTTTGCTCACCTCTGGGTCGCACAAGTTGCTAAAATCTTTAGAGAAATTATCGATCTAATTTTTCATGATCATTTTTTTTGGCTGTTTTGTTTTTTCCCCTCTTTTTCGGTTTGATGGGTTTCGGCCTTTATTGTATCGGCCTATTGGCCACATTTTGCGTGTTTTGACGAGCGATGTTTTGTGCATAAGAGTGTTGAAGGTTGGAGGGGACTTAATAATTTTTTTTGTGTATTTAATGGAGGGAACTTAATGAGTATTTAAGTTTTGTGAATTGATTTCGGCATTGTTTTTATTTTTCCTTTTTTTGGCCTAATAAGTTTGGGCCTACATTTTTTTTGTGGCCTCATATTGCGTCGTTCGGCGAGCAAAGAAGTTTTTTTTCACTGTGTGTATTTTGAGGCTGAGGGGGGACTCAATAACTTTAAAGTAGTTTTTAATTTTTATCGACTTTTCTATTTTTTTTTCGGCCGAATAAGACTCGGCCTGTACTATATCGGCGGAGTGGCATCATATTGCGTCGTTCGATCGTTTATTCGATACAATGAAGAAAGTACAATGTGCAAAATCATTCACTGCATCAGGGTACCCCCACGGATAACTATTACAATTGAGGAACGACAAAGATCAGTTCATGCTAATTTAAAAAAATTGTCGATCAGCTGTACTTTATCAATAATGTAGTCTTTCTTAAAAATTTTTAGACAGTTTCTCATCAGAGTAAGTTTCAATGTTATCTGGAAGAAGCCTATTTGACATCAAAAAGCTGAAGCATTTCACAATTTTTTAAGAAAGAATTTTTCATCATTTTTGTTTTGCAGCGGTAAAAGGGAATCATTCCATTTGAGGTAGAACGTGTACTTCTTCGATAACAAAATTTATTAATTTTTAGATAGTCTAATGGAGAACTTTTCAGGTATTGGAAAATTGTCTCTTTGAACAATTGATTTAAATAGATTTCATGAACTGTTTCTAAACCAAGTTCATTAAATTTCTAAGTAATATGTTCAAATTTTCGTTAAAAGAAAATTGTTCGCAGTATCTTTTTCTGAAATTAATAAACTTTTTCCAGATTTGTTTTGATAGTACTACCATATATTAGAAGACCATATGATATTATTGGTAGCACATAAGCTAAATAAAACCTTAGTAACATTTATTTTGAAAATACACACCGGCCTTTGTACATGATCCCATTAAATCTTGCTAATTTTTTGCAGACAATAATAACATGCTCGTTAAATCTAAGTTGATGATCGATTTGAAATAACACCTAAATATTTGAAACATTTAGTAAAACTAACATTTTCACCTCCCAGTGTAAATTTTGTATCAAGACAAGGTTTACCATAAGGTAAAATTTTACATTTGTAGAGCTGATTGACAATTTTTTACGAATGCACCATTCATCTGTTTTCCCTAAATCATTCTTAAAATCATCGGATGTTCTCGACGTTGGGAAAGATGCAAGAATGGCAGTATCATCAGCAAAAAGGCTTATTTCAGTCTTTGTTACGATTTTGTTTATATCAATGAGATATAGTAAGAAAAAAAGTGGACCAAGAACAGATCCCTGGGGCACCCCACAATCTAATGGTTTTTTAGAGTATCTACCCTTCGTATTTTCTACGTATTGCTGTCTATTTGTTAAATAACTTTAAGAAATGAGATCATTAATTTGCCTCGAAAACCGTATGCATTTAATTTTTCCAAAAGAATTGAGTGGTCAACTGTGTCAAATGCCTTCTCCAAGTCTATGAAAAGTGCTAATCCCACATATTTTTGGTCTATTGTCTTTCTCATAAATTCAGTTACCCTTGCCAATGCATGGATGCAAGAATGTTTTTCACGAAAACCAAATTGCTCTGGTATAATAGTATTGTGTTTTTGAAGAAAGACAACATTCTTTTTTTAGTAACTTCTCAAAGGTTTTGCTGAAGAACGTCAGTAGGCTAATAGGTCGATAGTTGCTACCATTTTGTTTGCTTCCATCTTTGAAAATAGCAATAATTTTGGCAATTCTGCATGAGTCGGGAAAATAACACTATCAACACGTTTGTTGAAAATTTTCGACAAGAAAATAGAGATAACCGGTGCACACAGTTTAACCATTTTTGTTGAAAGCCCATCATGACCACAAGAAGATTTTGGTTTTTGGGGCAGTGATGATTTTGTTGATTTCGTGTCCATCAGTTTTTAAAATTACAAAACTAGAAGGATTTTTTGTTGTGTTGGGTTTTTTTTAAACCATTTTTGCATATAATGAGTCTCTTTTCTTGCACATTTTTATAATATCTGGGGTTATCCTCGTTTTCGATAACGCCTTGAAAATTTTCGGAAGGGAGAGAACCGATCGAATACTTCCAAACATGTGTTTGTCAAATCAATATCTTCTCCGCGATTCTTTTAATTTTTTGGTCAATAACAAACAAAAACTTCAAAACATTGTCTTCTTTTTGCAAAAATTTGGAACTTCGCCATTGAATATCCATAAACTGGGTGTCTTCTAAAAAAGTTGCTATAGGTGCAACTAAAGCATAATGATCGCTCAGTGATGTTTTCAGAAAATTCAGTGAAACTTTTCAGAAAATTCAGTGAAACATAATTTTTGTTGATTTGGGAATAATCAGGCACACAAAAGTCTCTTTGGCCACTGGTGGGGACATTATGACTTGCACTGTGCGAGCTAATATCATTTGCCATAAATACATCGACTTCTTTTTGATTTTCAACTGATTTCCATTTAGTATCACTATTTGGTATCTTGATTTGTACTTTGTTTTTATGCGTTGACGTCAAGAGATTTGTTTCTCGTCTACAATAGTTGAAAATATCCGTCCTTTTCAGCTAACCTTTCATTAACATGAACTTTACCCCCCGTCCACTCGTCCCATAAATCAAATCTTTTGTTACAAACCGCATCTCTTTGATGGTTATAAAAAACTTTGTAATAATTGGTCGATTTTTACCTTTTTTCCGGGCAGATAGTGGCACGCTGCGATATCCTGGGGCTCAATGAAAATTTGAACTGACCTTCAAATCCTCACAATGGAGTGTACTGGATACTCACCCCGTCAGATATTCCATGAAAAGTTAAACACATGTAAGATGAATACCTCTCCAATTTGGTAACTCGTTTTTCCAGTTCGTAGTCGTAATTGTCATTTAATAGCCTGTCATTTTCTTCCCGTAACCCGATAATCTCATTTTGTTGGGTATCAACTCGTATAATTAATTGTTCTAATAGAGATTGAATAGAATTTCCATTATTTAAATCGGTTGAAGAAAGCTTTTGCAATAAGGCCATTTTGAATTTTGAAGGCGAAAGATTTAGAAAGTTTGTTTAGCGAACGTAAAAAGAACAACGCGACCGTTTCTCAGCTAAACATTCTCTCTCCGGTGTGCGAAAAAAAGTTTTTTTTATGTGTGTGAGTTTTGAGGGTGAGGGTGACTTAAAAGAGTTTCCTCTAAATGTTTTAGGCTTTGTTATTGCTCATTAATTTTTTTGATGCGAATTTCACATATTTTTGTCTTGTTTTCTGTTTCAAAACTAGCCCTATTCATTTTGATAGATCTAGTTTTTTCGAGTTTGTCGACCTGACTGCTTTTTTGTTCTATCGCAACTGGTGCGAAGCTTAGCTTCGCCTCTGTGTGAATCATGAGCGTTAGTGAGTTACCAGATCGTAAAATCGTATTTCTGTAATATTTCGATTAAAAACTGATTTTGACCGCTTCTTGTGCAGTAAATGTTTAAGCTGTAATTGTGGCACATGTTTTTGTATCTATAAAATGTTGATTTCTAGTAGCTTATACTATTCATAAAAAAGTTGTTTCTAGGATTAAGTAGGGAGATATATCTTTTGGAGTTATGTTTGATAATAGTTATGTTTCAATGTATAGAAAATTCGCCCATTGTTAATTCTCATGCTCTAATTTTTTTTCAAAGTGTGTGCGTAATTTCAGGGGGTTGAGGACGATGCGCCTACAATTGTGAAAATATTCGTCTCCTTTACTGAGCCTTCGGGAGCTGAGTCAGCTGTTCAAGCGATGAACGGGCGCTACTTTGCAGGCAGACCGATTATTGCTCAAATATACGACCAGGGAAGATTCGACTACGAAGATTTATCTGGATAGAAAAATACCGTTCCTTATCTTGTATGGAATTATGTATTCCATAACTCACCCCAAGAAAGTTGAGCGAAAAAAGCGCTTCATCTAGCTAGAGAAAACTCGTCGATGTTGGTAATGAAACGTGTTCTTATGCGTATCGTGTCTCTCTTGAATTTATTGTTCAGTTGTTTATAAAAGACCGATTGATTTCACCTTAATTTAACTTTTTTATTTTTTTTTGTACTCAGTAGAACTGAAATGAGATTACTTTTTATTGAAATACTAACATGAGTTGAAATCAGAGCTGTGCTTAAAATGAATCGACTTTTGAGTATATTAATTATATTTGCGACAGCAAATGTCTTGTAATCGGGAACTGAACTTCTTTTCCTGTATACCATCTTTCTTACAAGATATTGAGTTTGCTTCGTTATTACTCTAGCAACCTTTGGGGAGCGTTAGTGTTATAGTACGACTATTTTTTTAAAAACTTAAGTCGCAAATATTGGTGGCAGGCACCTTAACTGCTTTTTGATAGAATGTGCTTTGACATTCGAAGGATTATTTTCTAAAATTTAAGGATGCGACGATATTATAAATGAGGTACATTAGTATGATCTTGTTTCATAGTATGGTACAGACATCTTTTAATGAGAATTTCCTTGTAGTCAAAAATTTTGCAAAAATCTATGCAATGGTTTATAGAGCAATCGAAGCAATAGTTTAAAGAGAAGTGGACTTAATGCGAACTAATTCTTCTCAAAGTGTAATCAAAATGGTTTTTCCTAGGATTGTTTCTTTAAGATAAGAGCAATATTACTTGTTAATAAGGGTCATTGTTTTTTTTTTAGTTTGGATGACGTTTCTTTTCTTGTGCTTTCAGATGTTTTGAGGTTTTGTTTTCGTCAGTTTTGGCAAATCAGTGTAAAATGCCGGCTGTTTCACAATCTTTCTGCTCCACCTGTGGAGAATCGCATGCCAAATACAGATGTCCAGGATGCAAGAACCCTTCATGCAGTCTGACTTGTGTCCAAAAACACAAGGAGAAACTCGTCTGTGATGGCAAGCGCCCAATTGCTCATTTCATTGCTACAAATGAGTTCAACCAGTCAGATTTGCTAAGCGATTATCGCTTTCTAGAACAGGTCGAGCGAAGTTTGTACGGCAAAAAGGTGAAACATTCATTGTCGCTCTGCAATCAAAATCTTAAGTTTCATGACTAAGGCAAGGTTTATCTGCTCAGCTTGGAATGCTTTCTAAATTATTGGAAACATTTTAAAAGCCTTACCGTTTTGATTATAAATTGTCTCAAAAAAGTTTTTTTTTTGTGTAGCAATAAGCATTTTGAGCTTGACACCAATCCTACTGACTTGAAGCTCATTTTTATTTGGCTGTGCAACCATCCTAGGTTTTATTTTTTGGAAATTGAATTGATGAACAGAATATACTGTTTGTCTTGTTTAGTATAACCGCATAGTGCACTCTAACCAGATGTATCCGGTAGTGGTGGACTATCTGAGACGAGGGGCGTTTAAAAGAGGAATCAAACTGAAGTTCCTCTCTCTGGGCATGCAGAAACGACACACCAACTCCTCAATGTTTAACCGCAGAAGCGACTCTCTCAATTGGAAGGTACTATACAAGTACAGCAGCTATTTCGATCGAAATTTTTCTTTATTTCAATTTAAACCATAATTCAGTTCGTCAAACTTAAGCGAGAAAAATTAAACGCTCTTCCCTCTAAATTAGTCTAAAAGACTAGTTAGCGTAATTTTTTTTTTCGCAGCATTAGGATAAAGAATCGAAGTGTTTCACTGCTGCTCGAATCTCGCCAAAGGAATTTAATATTTCACCTCATTAGTCGGTTGCTCTGCAAGAAGCTCAGAATGGTGCAACTCCGATATAATTTGCGAAAACTGTTAAGAAATTCCTTGCTACATATTTTTCTAATGATTTTTTCTTAACTCCTCTGATCTTTATAGCCGACTACATAATATCTTAGAATCGATCTTTACATGCATCGGAAGTCTCGGAAAATGCAAATCATGGATTTTAGTGGAGTGGGAAAAAACCAGTAAAAAACCCTGAGACTCGAGCTGCTATGAAACTATCTCTTATCTCTTTTGAAGAATAAGTCATTGGGAAATTTTTTTTTTGGATTTCGTAAAAATTGCGGCTTATATTATATCGCCGTTGTGATCTCATGTCATGTTTGTGTTGTATATCAAGTGGTGTGAAGCTACGTTTAATGTAGCCAATTTTTTTGCAAATTAAAACAGGTTTTTATCATTAAATGCTATTTTCACCGCAACCGGCTGGTATTGTTAATGTTTAACACTGGTGTTATAAACAAAAGTTGTTTGTTAGATCGACTGGCAGTTTCCTCTTTCGGATGTGACATACACGGACAAACTGGTGGATGACAAACGAGTGATCCAATCTGCCTTGGATGCATACCTTTCACTGGACCAATCAACTGATGCTATAAGGTGAGTGTAAATGTTCCCATAGATGTTGACCAATTTTTTGTTTGATAATAAAGACTAAAGTTTGAGCTTGAGCGCTAGTAAGTGTAATTTGATGTGAAATTTGACTAAGATTTGAAATAATTTTGAAGTCTCCGTGTTTTAGTTCGAATAGTTTTCGGCATGATGAAAATTGAAATCCCACTGAAAAAAATGTAGTTCAAAATTTTTGTTGAAAATAATGCTAATTTTTAATTAGCATTCAAGTCGACTTCATAATAATCAGTTTTTTCTATTTCTGGGTTTATTTACTCTTTTCCAGCAATTGGTGGTTTGGTAAATTATTTCTTTTTTTTCTGCATCTCGAGTGCTGTGTATCTCAGGCTTAGTTTGGTTACGTTTTAATGAACGAAGTGACTTTCCTTTATGTAGAGTGTTTTTTTTTGTATTTTGGGAAAAATTCTATAAGTTTGTTCACGCTCAATTTTATAGTTCGGTGGTTTGACAATTGCGTTTTTGAGTTAATTAAGTTTCTCGAACTTGGAAAGCTCTACAGCGATAGTTGTTATTTGAAAGGCGAAAGAAAAACGCTGATTTTTAAAATTTCCTTGAATTGTTGTTCCGACCATTTGAAAAATGGGGAGGAACTTTGTATTCGGGTGTTTTAAATTTTAGTCTTTTTTTTTTGTTTTCCATGCAAAATCAGCTACTACAAATAATCATCGGAAAGAGTTGAGTGATATATCATATTAATGCCCTCACAGTCGTGATTTGAACAACAATAAAAAATCTCCAAAATTTTTTCAAAGTCGAGTAAAACCGGTTTGATTTTTTTTGGTTTTTCGTCTTGATTCGAGCGAATTAAGCTAGCGAACAGGCTTACAATAGCTTTTTTTAATGGCTTAAAAGCTTACAATAGCTTAATTTAAACGTAATAACGTAGTTTTACTTGACTAAATTTTTTAAAGCATTTTAGCGCCTTTTTGAATCAAAAACTTCAAAAAACTGCAAAAAAAATTTGAACTGGCTATAGTTGTATTTGATTAATTTTTGTTCTACTCATCCGAAAGTTTTCAATGTGACTGCTATAACTGGCTGTTTAATTATTGTTCAGGTATCTTTTTGTTTAGACAATCACTGAAGAAATACTTTATGAACCTGGATCAGATTCGAGTTGTGATGTCCAATGAGTTAGTTGGTTCGCAGAAGCGTTATTTTGTTGTCGACACGTCAAAAACACTCGGCGATTTTCTTGTTGGAAAAACTATAGTGGAGTATCCTACTTTTATTGTAACACTTCAGCCGTTCTTGAACAGATACAAACTGATTCCCAAAGAAGAAGAAGACGCTTTGACGTTAGAGATGCGTGAACGACGCTTGAACAAATTTTTCAATTATCAGGACCGAAATAACTCAAACAGCCATTCTTCGACCAACCAAGTCAGTTCCAGAAATGAAAGGTCGAGTGAAAAAATTGATCAAAGTAAGAGTTACCAAATTGACCAAAACTGATAAACTGTTTCGAGTTTGCTGATTTATCATTTCAATTAAGTCTGATTCTTGCATCAAAAGACACTTGTATCAAAAAGCTTTGTTCAGAAATTGAAGTTTGCTGATGTGATTGTTTTCATCTCGTGGAAGATCCGCTGCAAAATTTAAAAAAAGACGTTTTATTAAATTGTTTCTAATAGTTTCGTATAATAGCTAGCTTAAAGATTTAGTTCAACGCCAATTATTCAATCAAAAAAGTTCAAACTTAAATTTTATGTTAGACACCAAGGGAAAACTTTTTGGTCGCTGCCGCCAAGCTGTTGTATCTAAATATTCGAGACACTGCATTTTCGACATTACCACAAGGTTATTTAGTGTCAAAGAGTGAAGTCAAGACGCATAGTTGTTTTTATCTTGTTTTTCACGAAAAATTTTGTTTTGTTTTTAGAAGTTGCTCTCGCTCACGCTCGACTTTGAATTTCTTAAATTGAATCCAATTCATTTATCAATGGAAAGCAAATAACGCTCTCAATTTACGAAAGTGCAATTGACGCAAAAATGAGAATGAATTTTAAGTGTCATTGAACATAGTGAAGACACATATATGTTGCCTAGGTTTTTTTCAGGAAAAGTCTTGAAATTTTTTCACGCAAAATTTAGTGCGGTTTGGTTTGACTTTTGATTTATTTAGTTTAGTTCATAGTCGTTGGCGGAAAGAAAGACAAATAAAGCTCTCCGATTAAGAAAGAGGAAATGGTGCAAAAAGAACGAAGGCGGTCTAGTTTAAAAAGTAGATAGTGATTTTAAGATTTCCCAGCGGAGTAAAAAGTTTACCTATGATCCAGTTTTCTCACTGGGTAGGCTAAAACAAACTGGTCATTATTTCTTCAACTGTCTATGATGGCTACGTTTAATTTGGAAAGTGGATTTTAAATTTAAAATTACACTTGAATAAAAAAATTATCTACTTAACTAATGTTCTCAAGTTCGGTTAGTGCTATGAAAACAGTGTCCATCAAAAAAGATTCTCGAAGTTTAAAGAATTTTAACCTGCGATGTATTTTGCTTATTCGAAATTCAGAAATTGAGAAATTTTTAAAAAGAAGTATCCTTTATTTGGTTTCCTTGTTCATTTACTTTTTAGATTTTTCTGATCGTTAGGTTTTAAATTTTTTTCAGACATTCTATATTACTGTAAATTGGGTAATCGCTCTATGAAAGTCATAAAACTTCCAAATGTCAAACCCTAATTTTCTCTTGTTTTTTAGAGAATTCGTTGGGTATAATTTTTCTGGTCGATAATTTTGATTCGGTTGGGTTTCGATTAGTGTTTTATTTGATCAATGAGTGTTATTGTTTTTTTTTCTTCATTTCTTAGCGTTTTGTTAGCGGCTGGCACTTTTGCCTTCCAAATTGATCATAAAGAAAAGTCTTAAAGGATTAGTTTGTTTTTGTCCTCTAATTTTTTTGAAGCTTATATTGGCTTAACCTATTGACAGCTTTTGATCAATTTTCTCATCGAAAATGAATATTCCAACATTGTAAAATTAAGTATATTTTTTAATGCAAATTTGTGCGCATGATTGTTTCTCTTCCAGTTGTTACCGATTAAACTGCTTCTTATTCTCGTGTAATCACTAGCCTTGCGTATTTGGTATAGTGGTAAAGTAAGCGCCTTTGAAGTTAGTCTAAGATCGGTTCGAATCCCGGTCGATTGTTTCATTTTGATATCAGAGAACTTTTTTTTCTGGGAAATTTGAATGGTCGAACTATTGTTTGTCTGCTTTTTTTGCTCGGCTTACTTTCGAAAGAGTGGACTGTCCTGAAAAATCACAGAGTTTTCGCTATTTGTGAGTGCTAGATTATTTAAATTTTTTGAAATAAATTTAAGTATTTTTCATGATTTTTCTAATTGTTGTTTTTTTTTTGCTTTAAATGTTCTTCGGCTTGAAGGATTATAGCGTTTGTTAAATTGGTTTAGTTGCCTGATTCAGCTAATGGGTCTTTCAAAGAATGAAAATATACTTGGATTATTTTTGGTGTAATGGGAGACCTAAGAATTATTTTTTTAAAAAAGTTTTTTGGTTTTTTCCCCGGCTCAACGGACGTCTACCCTTGTCTGCCTTATTACTGATTGTTGAATTTTTATCTCAGTTCTTATTTAACGCTGAGTATTGCGTTTTTTTTTGGTCGCGTGTGATGCAAAGCTCGTCTTCGCTTCTGGTTTTAATATGTTGTAAAGTTCTGAAACCTAATGAGCCTTAGATTAATTTGAAAATTTGGTCTATAATAAATGAAACAACTTATTTAATGCATTGGCTAATTTGTCTTTTAACTCTAGCATCAGCTTAGTGTGTTGTTACGAAACTTCTTTTTTTTTCTAACCTAACTCGTAAATAAAAATGTTCATAAAAAGTGTTCACTTATTTGGATGTTTGACTGTAACGTTGGAAATTGCAAAGCATGTGTTTTCTGCTTTATTTGTGGCTAGTGTTTTATATTCTATCTTCTATCGACTTTTAAGCTTCCGTGGCTAGTGTGTGTGATTCTAACTGTTATGATCGCAGGTTCGAATCTCAGACGTAGACGAATTGTTGCTAATTCGAGGCTTATTTATAATTTTTCTTATGAAACTTCATAAATCTGCACGTATCCTGTTCTCGCTAGTGTTTGAGAAGCAAAGCTTTGCCTGTGTGTATATTTTCGATTACGTATTAGCGACAAAAGCCAGCAAAGCGGAGATATATCTCAATGTGTGAAAAAAGTTTGATTATTTTTATTTCTGTTTTGCTTCAGTTGTGATTTTAGCAGTTCTCTGGTTGATCGTTTAAAAAAAAAATCAGGTCTCCAAGTGGTTATTAATTTGTTTTCTTATAACTATCAATCAATCGGTTTTCTTATAACGATCAATCAGAAGTCTCAGTTGGGATGGAGAAATTTGTAATTTTATTTTGATTTTTTTCTGAGAGTTTTCCTCACTCGAGTGATAGATACTGATAGATAATTTTTATTTCACTTAATCCTTCTTTGGTCACAAAAAAGTATTCTTGGAAGCTTGAAATCGTTTTCTTGGAACTGGGTGTTTCAATACCTAAATTTGCTTCTAAATGTTTTCATATATATGACTGCATTTATATTGCATATATATGACTGCTCTAATAATTTCATCGATAGTTTCTTTAAACGCTGCTTTGGATTTGATATTGTTTTGTTTCATACCAATATTGCATTAATTACATGATTCTCTATGCGTTATCACAAATGAATAACGACAAAACCACTCAAAATTTGGCTTATGATAATTTCAATTTTTTGCCAGGACCTCTTTGTTTTCAGCTGAAAATATTCGGTTTCAAATAGTTTGTTGGCCTATCGCTTGTCTGATTATAGTCAGCCGATCTGTTTTGTCGGCCTATCTGATTTACTACTGTAATGAGAAATTTACTAACCCTGACTTAGTTTGTTTTCCTTTTTTGTTTTTTTTTGCTTGAAAGATTCTTTCAGCGTTAATGATTTGGGCCTATGTTTTATCGCCTTGATTTATGTTATGATATATTTTTCGATTTCTGTTTTATCGTCTTGATTTTGGGAAACAAAATTGTTTTTTCCCTATTTTTCTAAAACACAAATGGAAAAAATTAGGATTTTAAAACTTTATTGCTCAAAAATTTTCATTACCCTTAATTTTCTTTTTGGCCCAACAAGAGTTAACTCATGTTTTGTTGGCTTATTTGGCGCTCGATAAGTTTTTATCATTTTTTTCTTAAAGCCAGAAAATTTATTGCTGCGCGTGTTTTTTTCCAAATTGAGCAACATTTGATACGAAATTATGAATTTTTTTGTGATTTTTTTGACTCGTTTGCGTCTGTTGGATTTTTTCTGCTAACTCCGCTTGGATTTTGTATGATTTATTTCATTACGCTTGTGATTAATAAGCGTTATCAAATCAGAAAATTGCTTTTTTTTTTCGGGTTTACAAATTGTTAACAGAATCACTTGTATCTTGGTTGATAATGTATTTAGTTTTTGTTAGTCTCCAGCAATAAGCTTGAAGTCGAAGAATAAGCCTGGGACGGTAAGTTAGTGGGTTCGAATCTGATCAGGAACTTTTTTCAAGTTGGAAATAATCCTTTCCAAAAAATGTCGACCTATTGTTTGTGTGCTTAGGTTTTATCGGCTTAGATGCCACATCCTAAATTGATTTTTTCTATACGCTATTTTCAATGTAGTTATTTAAATGCTTTGAATTACTCCTGCAATTTGTAGTTTTACGAGTCTTGAATTTTTATATTTTGCTTTTTTCGCTTAAACGTTTTATTCGACCTAAATGATTTCGACTTTTATTTTATCGTCTTAGAGACCTAGTTTGGGCTAGTTTCATTTATGCTTCGAACAAAATGCTAAATTTTTTAGAATAGAATGTATAGTTCAAAGTTTTTCAAGACAACAATTATATTTTCCGTTCTACGGGAATTTATTCAAGTTTTGTCGTTTCAGTTGCCGCTTGTTATTTATTTTTGAATGTTTATAAATCACCGTCGATGTTTTATGGACGTGTTTTCCGCAAATAGAACCTGGTTACACGACAACATTTTGAATTTTTGAGATAGATTTTTGAAGGATTTTTCAATTTTTTTGGACTATGTGGCTTTCTTTTCCTGTCTGCTAATTATAAATTCAAATTCAGCCAACCATCCCGCTCATCTGCCGTAGAGGTAAAACATCTGCTTGAAATAGCAAAGACGTGTTATTTGAATCGACGGGGGCCTGTTTATTGCTAAAAACGTGATAATTTAAACTCTTGGAAGGCATTTCGGAGTCCGTTAGTTTTTCCACTTTAAATCATGGATCGAATAAATGGCTTTTCGGCTGAGCGATGTGTCATTCTAAAGCTTCTAAAACGTTATTTAGAATAACTATAAATTTTTTGAACCTGATAAACTGGAAAACCTCCGATCTGCTATATTACTTTCTCCATTATGACAAACTGTGTGAATCACTAGCGCTTCAGTTTATTTGTTAGATTTTTAAGTGTTAATTACACAAGCAAATGTCTTGATTTAAGTACCAGTTCTTTTTCCACATATTTAAGTGTTCAATTTCATATCCGTATACTGTTCAATGTCTAATTGGCCAACGATTAGGAGCATGCATTTTATCCGATTTATTAAAGTTTAAAATTTGTCTAAAATTTTTAGAATAGCAAGGTGGATGTATCAGTGAAGAAGGCAAATTGCTGATAATTATGAGGACCGTTGTTCGAATGCTGTAGTCTGGTAATTTTTTGTTAGAAAGTTTATTTTATTTACAGACTTCTAGCATTTTGAAAGTCAAGAGTTTCGGTTTCTTGCTCGATTTCTCAAAGTCCTTCTTCTTCTCTTCGAAAGAAACTGGGTTTTCACTTATTTTGGTCATTGGTTTCCAGAGAAAGTCTTAAACATTGTTCATACTCGTTTCATACTACTTTTGTTTTTCGGTTCATCGTACTGATGAAAGGCAATTTGGTCTCCTCTGCATCCAAAGTCTGAATGGCACAAGTTAAAGAACGCACTTGACTTTTAGTTTCATGAGTTCTTTTTCGATATAAAATTTCACGGTAGATTAAAAGAATAGCCTATTATCAGTTTTTTATATTTGGTCAGTTTGTCTATAAAGTCATTCAAAGGGTCAAAAAAAGAGTCAAATAGGGCAATGGGCTCGAACGGCATAAAACACCGCCTTATTTTTGATTAAAGTTTCAGAATTTGTAGCATGTTTTTTTTTGTTTTTTTACTGAGGTCATTTACTTTTCTATTCTTCTAATGACTGTGTTAGACTTCAAACTTAATTTAAGTAACATCAGCAATGGGCAACATTATAACATTCCTTTGTTAAATATTCCTCTCATGGGAAGGAGCTATGACCGAGGATGTTTTTTTTTTCACGCAGTCTCTGTATCTCAAAGAGCACATTGGATATCTAGTGTGAGGTTACATTGGTCTCTTTTCGGCATTCATTCAATTTTCGAAAAAGTTGTGTTCGAAAAGCATTTCCTCGGAAGAGAAAAACTGGTTGGAGTTTTTGCTATTCAGACTGAAATTTAGCGAAGATGGATGAAACTAAATCTTCCTTTTGAAGACAAAAAATTATGTTTGTCGATTTATGACTGATGTTGTAGTCTCTGTCAAAGCACGTCATTTCTGCAGGTTAATTATTTGTTTTTAACAAATCTGATTGAGAAGTTCTTATGTTTTAAGAAATAATAGATGTGGTCAGCACACTTTGATCTAATTATTGTTTCTTTTTCAGGATCAAGCTAATATTTTCCACCTCAAAGTGACCCAAAATCTCTGTGGAACGGTAATCATTTTGAGAATTAATTATGTGTGAAATATGCATTTCAAACAATCGCTCAGAAAATGTTCCGTTTTTTTTTATTATAGAATAGCTAATGTATACTGTCAGTTACGCAAATGATTTTTCTAATTATTTTTTGATTTAATTTTTTATTACACTTGCGATTAGCAAGCGTTATCAAACTAGAGTATAGACTTTTTTTCGGTTTAACAACTTGCTAAACAGAATCACGTGTATGGAGTGCGGTCTGTATTTAGACAACCGCGTATTAATACTCGTCAGTGTTTAGAAAAATACTGTATGATCCAATCAGAATCGAGATTATTTATTAATTTCTTCCTTGTCTGGATTCTGATTGGAAGTGTCTGAATACGCGTTTGTCTAAATACTGCTATGTAACCCACTTGTATCTTTTTTCATTGAGTTCAAACTTCTAGGCGGTCCCGGCCAACTTAGCCTGGAGGAAACGAATATGCCTGGGACGGCAAAGGTCCTGGGTTCAAATCTGACCGGGACCTGTTTTTTTTTCAAACTGGAAATATTCTGTTTCAAATGAAATTGTCGGCCAATTATTTGTCTGGTTATCTGTTGTCGGCTTAGTTGTTACATCTTGAAATCATTTTTTTGCTGTGCGCATTTTGCTTTAATGTTGCTTGATTTACTTCTACAATTTAAAATTTTACTTACCTTGATTTCGTATTTCCTTTGTTTTTTTGTTTCGCTTAAAAAATTTCCTCGGTCCATTTCTTTTCGGGATGGGCTAGTTTCATTTATGCTTCGTTCAGGATCGAACAAAATGCTAAATGTTTTAGAATAGAATGTATAGTTCAAAGTTTTTCAATACAACAATTATTTTTTCCTTCTACCTATTTTCGAGTCGTTTCATGGGAAACACAATTTGAACATTCCCCTCCGCTCTTTTCATGTTTATATTATGGAAAACTTCTACTGATTTTCAAAAAAAAGGGTATTATTGAAAGACTGGCTACTCCCCTGTGTGCATGTGCACTCCCCTAGAGTCTCGTTTCACTTAAGCCCTCTGTCTACAGCCTTCGAAAAAGTCTGTGGGAGGATATTTGACCCATATCTTTTTGATTTTATTGTTGTCTCAAAAAATACCTTTCTCAAATCTGAGTTTTGGTGTCAATGAATAAAATGGTATCAAAAAATTCTCTGCATGAATGGCTACGCCCAAATTTTCCTACACATAAAGTTATGGCCCTCGGAATAGTCAAATTTTTGATTTTTGACCATTTTTTGAATCTCTTCGAATAATCTCGAAAACTTCTATGCCATATTTGAGGTTATGGGCTCATTTCGAAGAGGTTGTGCGAAGCTCATTTGCTCATGTAGATCTTCCCAAATTTTTCTGGCACCAAAAGTTATGGCTCTCGCAAAAAAAAAAAAAATTTTTGTTTTTGATGTTTTTTAAAGTTTTTGTCATTTCTCGAGAACTGCTGAGTTTGGGCTCAATCGAAATTATAGGTTGAGTAAATATCTTCTGCATAACCGGCTATGCCCTTTTTTCACCCAAAAAGCTATGATTCCCCGAAATGTCAAATTTTTGATAAGTGGACCGTCTTTTTAACATTTTTCTCGCCAACAAACCTGCTAAATCTGATATCTTTTGTTTAATCGAAACAACCGATTGTTGAAAGCCTATTTTTAAAACTGGCTGTGCCCATTTTGTTAAGAAAAAAGTTATGGACTTCAAACAAGTCGAAGTTTTGCAGCTTTGACAGTTTTTGCAAACTTTTTGACCGCCAAAACTACCGTGCCAATTCTCAGTTTGTTAATCTAAAACCCGGTTTTCTGTATCTTGTCAGCTTCAGGGGCCTTAATATACTCTTCGCATGAAAAAGTCATTGACTATCGAAATCCTTTTGACTGTTTTGTAGAACTTTTGACCGTTTTTAGAAACTTTTGATTTTTCTTAAAATTTATACCATCAAATCTGAGATGAAAAGTTCAATTGAAAGAACCGGTTGCGATTGTAGTTCCTTCACAAGCGGCAACTCCTTAATTTTTTGGTAGGGAAATGTTATCTCCATGGGAAAGTTGATTATCTCAAAATTGTTTTACTCTGTTTTAGTAAGAGAAACAATTAAGGCTTAGGTAAAGTCCAATTTTTAAAATCACATTTTTCGTGACGCATCACAATAGCAAATGCATTCAACATCAAACACATACCTCCAACTTAAACTGGGCACCTAATTGTTTTTTATCTAGTTATACAAATATTTGATCCACCTAATTTTTTTCAATTTCAATTTTTTTCCGACTTATGTTTTTTATGTTTGTGTTGTATCGCAAGTGATGCGAAACTCCGCTTCACTCTGTGTTAATTAGAGCGATTTATTTTGCCTTCAAAGGTAATGTCTGAAAAACCGGTATTTCAATTGCTTTGGGAGATAGTGTTTTTTTTTTGGTTTTCTGTCCTTTCAAAGAATTATTTTACAAGGGTGAAGCGTGAGCATTAATACCAGGTCACCTTTTGGTCCTACGGTGTCTAAAAAAGGTGGTGTCGAGCTCGAGCTGAATAAATCATGTCCAAAAGATTGTTTTGCTGTCATTGTTTTGCTATTATTTCATAGCTTAGTAGAAAAGAATTTCATCGAAAACTCATTTGCAATAAAAAGGTTTTCAAAATTTTTTTTGATGTCTGAATTAATACTACAAGCTTCCAAATAGATTGACTGATCTTCAGAAATTTCTGGTGCAACTTTCATCCTATAATTATGATTTTAGATACCAAATGCGCACGCGCTGGAACTTCATAAAGTTTGGAGTGTATAAGAATTCGAATATCCAGTATTAACATACAAAATGGAACAGATAACACTTCAAGCGCTAAAAAATGGGCTTATATTTCCGAACAAACAGGCTGAAAGAAGCCAATTGTTCACCATTGTTCTTGATATTTCGACATCCGCATTTCAATACGTAGCGAACAAGCTTTTATTAAAACAGATTGAGCCTCGTCTCCTGTCTTTCCTCGACTCACTTCAAGCTGCACAGGGGATCAAATTGGTGTCACTCGTGGCTACACTTTCGCAAATCAGTTACCCCAGTTCACAGACATTATGTCATTGTGTGCCCCTCATAACGTCAGAAGATGTTGACTATGTAATGAAAACTCTGAAATCTTTCTGGGATAGATTGTTGCATTTAGTTCCACATGAGTTGTATGGTTTATGCGAGCCGGAGGTTGCGATTAATTTAGTTTTCAGAAACGCTTTGTTAACCTCCATTTTAGCGCCCGATATCTGCGATTTCAAAGATGTAGTTATAATTAGTGATATGACTAATTCATTACCACTTCAGTTATTCGACGAGTTCTTGAAATTGTTTCGACTGCATCAAATTTCATGTTCATTTTTGATGCTTTCAAACTGTTTAGGAAATGATTACCTGAGCAATTATGGTCTTATTCCCGATACGTCATTGTTTGAAGCATTTGCGTTTAACACAAACGGACAGATTTTTCTTTCCGATGAAAATATCTCAAACTTCTTCTCAGAGACATCTTGCGATAGTTTTGAAGAACGAAAGTTGTCAAGTTTACAAATTAGTTCTCCCGCAAAGCGCGTAGACGGAATTGTAAATCAGAAATTTTCTTGTCTCAAGTTTGAAGATTCAAGTCTGGTTCTGTACATTATATCCAAATTAAGAGAAGGCTTCTCTCTTTCGCTCATTGTAGATCCAACCGAGTTTGAAAACTGTTTTGTCCTGTCTATGGCTGTTCGAGGCGACTGTCTAGTCAAACTGGAAGTGCATTTTGAAGGAAATTTCACAGATTGTGAAAAGTTTGTTGTAGGAGTTTTCCTCGAGGGACCTTACATATACATTCACGACTTGTTTCATTACGATTCGAAGTGTAACCACCCGACATGTACTCTCGGGTTTCACGGAGTCGGGTCTGACAACCGAATCAGAGGGGTTGAACGAACTATGAAAATCTTGTATTCAATCTTGAACAAAAATGGGCCCAGAAAAACCAAAACGGATATTCGACGATTTGTGAAATTCATCAGCAGCGAGGACTTACCTGACTCAATGGCCCAGGGAATGCAGTTTTTCAAACTTCAGTACCAATGTTCGGCTAAGAAAACGAGTATTCCTAATGAAGACATTGATATATTCGATCACATGAATTTCTTTCACTTCATTTACTCGCTTGATCTGAACACATGGCAGAAGTATTTCAACGTGTACAAGTTGGTGTACACAATGCAACCTGATGCCTCGAAGGTCAACCTTTTTTCAGTGTACGGACCATGTGGGGCAACCAGATCTAGAAGTGCCCTGAAACAAATAAGGGGAAACTTGCAAAGCTTCACCAAAGTCGTCATTCAAGAATTGTTTCTCTACGGCGGCTTTTTAGAAACCTCAAAGAACCAAAAAAAGCACTTGGTTCTAATAAGAGTAAATCCTGACATACAGTCGGTCTTTACGCATTGCTTCATTGTGTATCTGGCATTTCCTTTGGAGGTTTCAAAAGAAGATCGCGAGATAGTATTGAACGAGTTCGAAGACTCAATGGAAAAACTTGAATTAAACGAAGGCAATCAACCAGTTAAAACCGTGCATAAATTTTCAAAATGCATCGACAAGCTTTCGATTCGTTATGATAATTGTCCAGATTTTTTTAATGTAGTCTTGCCTCCGAGTTTGGAATACTTAATTGACGAAACTCGAGATGATTTTCAGAATAAGGTATCCCTAAACGTCTATTCGACTCTGAGCAGGTTTCTGTATCACAGGCGTTGGATAAAAAGGGTTCCCAATTTGGTAAAAATGTCTAATTTTACTGATCAAAATGAGTCACTCTTATCAGTGAATAATACCAGCGTCGATAGCTGTTACGAAAAAGTGATGAAAAGAATCGTACAACTGAGGTTGAGTGAAGGCTTCCAAACTGTTTACGGGAGCCAGGGAGTTTACTTGTTGGTAAAAGAAGTGACTGTTAAAGTGAGCGATGAGCTAGAAAGCAAAGCCGTGATTCAGTATGTCTGCTTTAGACCTAAATTGGAGGAAGGCGCTCTCAGCTTACTTTTGTGCTCTGAGTGCTGGGTCGAGCCGCACCATGGTCAGATTGAAACTTCATTCTTAGACAATGAATCGCAAGATCTCTGCTCTTACAAAGAACTGGTGCAAAGAATTGAGCAGAAAGACCAAAAAGTGATGGAAAATACGTTGAATTTTTTGTACACACGTGAGCTTATAAAGAACGAAAATATTGAAATCAACAACTGGAATCTTGATTCGCCAAACAGCAAGCAGCAAGACAATGAGTCGGTATCCAGCTTTGGAAGAGATACAGAATATCCAGAAAAGACAGTCTTCTCCTCAGAGTTTTGCTGGGATGCTCTGAACCTCTGCAAGTTTGGCAATCTTTTCACAATGACTTTCAAGTCCTTTTCGATTATAGAAAACTCAGAACGAAATTTGGAAAAACGAAATGACTGGCTGTTGAAAACTTTTCACGACTATCTGGAAAAGTCAACTCAACTTTGCTTTTATCTTTCTCAAAGTGGAGCTGAAAAGCTGGACCAAATGCTTCTGCAGCGATCTGACACTTTCAATCGTATGAAAACAGATCTGCCTGAAAGTTCGAGAAAGACCCATGCGGATCCCGAATGTTTCACATTAATGTATGATTTGGACAGAAAGACGTATCAGCAAAATATGCAAAATTCAGTAACTAATTGGGTAGTTTATTTGGTGGCCTTAACTGAAACTGATCTAGTGTATCTTTTTGTACCGTTTTCCTTAGCTGATATCCAAGCTCTCAACAAAGAAGACGCGACATGTTATACATTTCCGCTGTTCATTTTTGAGTGCAATTATTTAGGACTTGAGTCATTGTGTGTCGGTGAAACCAGAGTCCCGACCTTGTTTGACTCTGAAAGCTCTGAACTCAGCAATGATTCTATGGTAAACATGAGTCTTGAATCGACTACGAAGTCTTTTTTGACTGTTCTCGACTTGGCACAGGTATATCTTTTGATTACTTGGTCGGAATTTTTGATTAGCGTTTTTTTTTTCGTTTCTCTCTTTTTTTGCCGCATGCTTCATTCGAAGCCTACTATAAGCGATTCAAAAATTGACCAGTTTAAATTTCTTTTTTTTTGTTTTAATCGCCTTCAGGAAACCAAGCTTCCTCTCATCGGAAGGTTGCGTGACCGATAGTAGTGACTTGGTTTGCTAGTTGCTTAGGTTGTTCAAATTATTTTTCAGAATCTCTTCAATCAAAGCTACGCCAGAGTTCTATACTACTTGTTTGTCGAGAACTCTGAAACTTATCCGCACAAAAAGATGAAACCAAAGTACAACTGGGCAAAAGAGCTTCAAGCGCTGAGCAAAATTCTGGACCAGTCGAATGAGAATTTTTATGCCAAAGATTTCAACTTGACGCCAATGCTTTCACTAAATTGTTCACACATAACTGATGATGCGGATGGAATAAACAAAGAACTGAAGTTCGAAGAATCAATTGATTGCTCAGTTCTAGACCACGTTAAGTTCGCACCAGTAGGAATTCAAGAATCCCTGACTTCTGATTCAGAATCTTGCACAAATCCAAGACGAAGATGCATTCAAGGGCGCTTTAAAGACATTTTGTACGAACATTACCAGCCTATTGAAACTCCTGAAATAATCTCGAACCCGAATGAAGCAACTAATATTTTCTTTTGGAAACAAATTGATTCGTGTTGTGACATTTCGCCCTCGGATTTTGATTCGGTAGCGTTCCGAAGAGCTGAAGATGATTCGGATAATTATTTCCAAGCTATGAGTGCTCTACAAGATGTGCCGGTTTTACCAGAGCCTTTATTCCTCCGACTTGCATGTGCTGCCGAAATCAATGGGTCTCAATTTTGTGAAATATCTTTGGGTCCGAAACTGCCGACTTGCTTGAAAGACATTTTCTTGAACGTCTACAATCAAGTCAAGGACCAAATATCGGAGGAGGGCTCGAATGTTGAATCTGATTGGCTGAGAAAAATAGGAGCGCCCTTGAAAATTGAGAAATTGCGGGTTTGTATCAAGTTCTACTTCCTGCATCTCCCGCCGAAGGAGAATTGCTTCAACGTCGTAAATGACTTTGTTGGAGCATCTAGAGTCCGAACATCGAGTTCAGTTTATGAGTACATCCCGAACTCTAATAACGCTGACTCGTTTTATAGCGCAGACCTTGACACGAGCGATATTCCAAATCACGTGCCCAGTCAAGAAAGGTTTCTGGCGCGTATGAAATGGTTGATTAGTGACGTGGTGGCCACATGTTTGCATGATACTGGCTCAGCCAATCTTCTGGGTATTCAAGTGCATGAAAAGATAAAGAAACACGTGAAGGAATACGAAAGTAGACATTCTAACTCAGATTTCCGTGAGCTCATTTTGAAGTTTGTCGAAAAGGACGTTGCCAGTTTTGATTTGCTTGAAAAGGAGCTTGAAAAATTTGAGTGGAAAAATTTTAAAATCTGCTCATTAGGCGCAAATAAACTTATGTACTCTTTATTTGTAGATCCAGAAGCCAGCCTGAAAAGTAGTAAAAATAAAATTTTATTAAAGAGACGTAGAGAGGTGAAAACTCAGATAAAAAACGAAGCCAGTTCTGGAAACACATCAGATGTAGGATGTGACTGTTGCCATGATTACGGCGGATTTGTTGCTTCATCCAATCAGGAGGTTTCCGAGATGGACAAGAGTGACAGTACTAGAAGCTTAACTGTTTCCGAGAAGGTCGAGAGCGGCAGTAAAAGAAGCTGGACTGGTGGCGTGTTAGAAGACAATGACAAATCCCTTCTGGAGACTGATTTCATGAAAGAATTCGAGGAATGTCTGCACCAAGATAATCCTATGCTGACTTCATCTCTGGAAGATGTCCGACCGGCAGAAAATGATACGCTAGGCGGTCCTCAGGTAAACACGAATGTACAGGGAGAGAATAAGTTTGACGAAAGTTTCGACGATGAGAGAGTAGATACTTTGAAACTGTGTTGCGATTACGATGGAGACACGAGTAACAACATGGACTCGACATCGTCGCAAGGTGATACTGTCGACATCTTTAGGCCAAAAGCGGAAAATTTTTGGATGGTTTTTGAACTTGAAACGACTCCAAAGGTCTACATCTGCAGAATTTATCTACACAAGCCGTTTTGTTGTGAAAATGACGTTTCAGCCTGCTGCTCTGATCCCGCGTTTCAAGAATTCGAAAAATATGTTCATAAAAGTGTGCATAAAGTGAACCAAATCAAACTTCTGGACCATTTTTACGAGCATGAGCAGAGTCTTCCGATTCTGTTGAATTACACTGGAGAACGAGGTAGTTCCATTGAGCCAGTAGTGGATTGGCGAGAGTTAATGTTAACTGCAGATTTCACAGAATGGGATCCGGATGAGTTCAAATGCGACGAAGTGAAACGCATTGAGATTCCGATCCATGTCCGCATCCAGCCTGCGAACCCGAAATCGGGAAGCGAAAATGTATCGACTGCCGTTCTAAACGTGTTTGCAAAACGAGGAATCAAAACAGCTAGAATACCTCCTGCAGTTTCTTTGTATAAAACAGACGAAGGAGATGTTTTCTACTTGAAGTGCGCAATCGAAGACAATACTTCATCTAAAAAGTCAACAGGAGGGGGGAAATTGAGTGATAGTGGTACGCGATACGGCGAAGTGTTTCAATCCTCGCAAACTCTGTCCTACTCCACCCCAAGAATCAAGTATTCCCTGGTTGTGAGTGTTTTCGGGGTTGGGCAACTCGATTGCTTCCTCAAAGTGGATCTAAAAAATCAATTGGAGGCATCTCTGAGAGACAGAACTTTGTCTCAACTTTGGACTGCCTTTTTGCAAAGTCAGTGCAAGTTGTACACGGCTGATGTTGAGCTTCTACAGAGTCGAAATGTGACCCCGAATGTGTATGTGTTCGAAATTCCGACTGAATTCTATGGTTATTTGTACCATTTCATGTGGCATCTGCAGAGCAATTTGAACTTGTACACAGTCGAACCGAAATACTGGAATGTAGAAGAGCATGAGTTTCACTTCAAAGGGCTCAACGGCGAGTCTTGTCAAAGCGTGAACTGTCGTCTGTTTGTCAATGTAAAGGACGAGTCTTATTTGCTGAGAAGCAACCCTCTGTCTTCTAAGCCTCTGAGGTCGAGGAGTGATCCTGGGATTGCGCTGCTCGAATTTTCAATCATTTCTCCGACGGAGGACAAAAGGAACCGTTCTTTCAGGTTAAATACTGACGATTTGAACATGTTCTCAGATGAGGCAAATTTACCTTTTTGCGAAATTGTTGAAAAAGATTCAATGAAAGACGACAAGTATTACATCCGATTCTGCGTGTGGGAAACGGGAAAGATTGACAGGGAGAAGTTGTTGAACAAAGTGGTGGAAAGTTGCATTACTCAGGCACTGTGCGATGTGTACATAGAGTACAAACTCTTGAACCAAGCTCCTGTGGGTGTCGACGGTCCAGGGGCAAAGGATGTGAACCATGTTGACCTTCTCAGTTTGCCTCCAGAATCTTACCTGCACCATCATCACCACGCATCGTCCGTTGACAAAATTGCGTTTTACTTGAACCAAGTGTTTCCGTGGTTAATTAAAAGTCGAGAACAATCAAGTTGCATGTCAGTGATCACGCATAAGTGCTCGATTAACTTCCGACAAAGGTTATCAGAGTTCTTTTTCTCGGTCCAAAATGCAATTAAACAGGATAACAAAGGAACCGAATTTGTTTGGCTGTTGTATCGGAACAAAAACGGACACTTGCATAAAATAAGAGATCAATCTCTGACCAAAGCGTTGAATTGTGGCGAAATGGGCTTGGATTTCCCGGAACTGGTGCTGCCACCTCAGACTGATTTAGCCGAGTACTACTTCCTCGCATTCAACCCGAACGAGTGGAGTTTCACGGGTCGAAGCCGCCACGCTTCTGGAAATTCTGAGTCTAAATTTTCTGTCGCCCGTCACCAGGTAGTGCATGTGCCGAAAGATATATTCGTAGATACAGTCAATAGACGAAGTGTTATTATCGGAAAATTCCAAAACCGAGAACTTTTTTCCGTCGCTTACAATATTTCAAGTGTGAATAATTTCTTCAGTCATTTTGACGAAAGGGCTCAAAGCATGAACTTCGACTCTCGTATTTTGAACTGTATCGTTCGACAAAAAATGGGCATTTTCAACCATAAATGCTTCACAGATATAATTAAACGAACCTCGAGAAACAGAAATCAGCAGAGAACGATTGCGTTTCAGGAGAAATTTAAAGAACACAGGGTTGCTCTGGACCCCAAAATTGACGTTTCAAAAGCTGATGACGTTATGAGACAACAGCCGAATATTTACAGCAAAATAATCGCAGCACAGGAAAAAGTTAACTTCAGTAAAGCTACAAGGTTGGGTCAAATATTTACACCCAAAGTCAAAATTTCGTTTGTCGAAGCATTGAAACAATTTGCTCACACTTATGAGTATGGTAGAACAAAACGGCACATTCGAGATTATCTGAAAAAGTTCGAAAATAACGTGGAGCAAAAGATAGACAGCCTCGCTGTTAATCGTGACGAACTTGAACTTATTTTGTCTAGATCAAGATTGTATCATTACGTAACAACGCCCATGTTTTTTGCTTCTTCATGGCACAAACTACAGGCTCAAAATTCGAACACGATGCAAGTTCCGTCAGAATCAGATTTCCAGGCAAATAAACTTTCCAATACTTGGTACGATGATCGCAAAGAGGAGATAATGGATGGTTTTTCGAGAAGATTTGAAAGCAAAATTCAACTCCAGATAACCCAGCATAACCCAAATATGAGTCATACCTCCCGAGTAAAACATCAAAGTGGAAACTATCCATTGCACCAGCAATCGTCCCAATTGTTGTTCTTCCCCGGACCTCGGAATGTTCCTGCCTCTTCGTTTAAATTTGCGCGTTACTTTGTTCGATCAGTGAATTATGGTGGCGTTGCTGTGATCAAATACGGATTTTACATAAACGAGTACGACTGTTTTTTCTGCGTCCAGTTGAACACTTTTCTATTCAGACGCTCTTCGACGAGAGGCGCAAACAGCTTTGAACTTTTCGACGATTATTATCAAAAATTGGACTACCTGGTTCAGAACTTACACGTTCACTCCTTCGCTTACGATTTGCAACTTAGAATGGCCTGGACTTATATTTTAGAGAAAAACAGGCTGAATTCGGCCATTGCATACCCTGAGCTAGAGTCAAGTCAGAAAAATGTGTTAAATTTTTTGAAGGATTTCATCACTTTCCACCACAGCAAAGCACCCTCGAGTTCTATCAAAAGACTTCTGAGTAAAGAAATTCGGGTATCATTGGGTGTCGGTGATGATATAGACCCGAAGCAGTTCTACGAATATCTTGTAGACAGACGACAGCTTTATAACATAGCGTGTTTTTCAGTCCCAGGGTCAATGGGAAAAACGGGATTGGAAAACACGACCTTGATCACTCAAAGCTATGATGTAAAAGCTAGTCAAAGTCCGTTGAGTTTTTCTGTTGGGGAATTGAAGTGTACTCTTCTGTTCGCTCACGACAGTTTTGAGAAAACGGAGCACAAACATCGGAAACAAGCGTGGCCGATTTGTGACGAGCAACTTTGCTGCAAATACGATTTGGGAAAAACTGGGAAGGAGAAGTTTTTGGTCATTAAATATTACCTGATTCTGAGCTCTGAAATCATAGAAGCACCGAATGTGTTATTGGACCCGTTTAAGCCAAATTTGCGCGCGGAAGAGCGTCGAAAGTTTAATAAAATTGAGCAAGATCGCTCAAAATATCTTAACGATATGCTGCAAGAACAGGACAAACTGTGTACTTGTCAGATTAAGCGCGTATTGGATCGTGTCAAGAAAGATTTCCACCGTGACTTGCTGTTGAGTAAAATTGTTGACTGCAGCACGAGTCCAAAAATGGAAACTAGTTCCAGCTTCCCTGTTGAACCCCAGCCCCCAAGCAGAGGCCAGACTTTCTCGGTGTTCAACAGCAGTGACACGAAAAAGAAGAGTTCCGCTTCATTGTCAGCTGTTTTTACGCAAAGTCACATTTTCCAATCCTGTCTCAACGAGAAAGAATCTCTGATGCTTCTCGACTTTTTCTTTCCGATTTCGATCGAAGCCTTTCTAAGAGAAGCACAAGCGCGCTTTTTCGACGTGAAAGAACCTGATTTGAAAGCTGCAGATACATTTGCGGCCAAATTTAGCAGCTTGATTAAACTTATTGTGCCTAAAATTGACGAGTTTTTGGCTGCACTATCGAGAATGGCATCAGTTCACGTATTGACTTTTTCTACTAAGGACTTAAATAGCAGTGTAGGAGAATTTGGCCTCGAATTTACGGAGAATGATCTATTCGACAACCAACCGGACACCGACTCAATATCAGGCAGTGGAGAACAATGTGCGCTAGTATTCAGAAAATCGACGACCTGTCACTACAAATCCCTTCCTTGCATTCCCGAGTTTCTGGTTTTGATAGCAAGGTCGGGAAACTTGCCAAGAACAGTTCTACAGAAACTCAAAACTTCAGAGACAACAGACAACACGATGAGTTTTGAAAGTAGTCAGAATCGAGTAGACGTAGATTCAAAAATTATGATAGTTTCAACTAATTCTCTGCGAACTAACAAAAAACTCTATTCTAGTGAAAATATCGAATTTATTCAGAACATATATAGTTTCATGATATATTTTTCATATCTCAATTAATACAAAATTGTTCAATATTACATAATTGCCTATATTGCAAGTATGTTGCATAGTGTCTATTTTTGTTTGTTTTTTTTTTTTAAAAAACCAGCTATCTCTACTTAGCAAAAGTTCATTTGTTTCTTCCTCTACTTATTGTGCAAGCATTTGTACTCAACCAGAATATTAGGCTAAGGCTAGAATTCAATTTTTCATTTCAAAAATCATTTTGTTTTTCCTTTGAGGGGGTTTGTTTGATTTGAAGCTCACTTGAGCTGTCCGAGGAAAAATTGAGTTATCCAAGAACAAACAAGAATTCAGCAAAAAATATGTTTTTTTTTATTGTTTCAAAAGTTGTTGTATACTTTTTGAGTGTTCAGCAGATTCCTTAGAATAGCTTTTTTGAAATTATTATAGATTCGAAACAGTCAAAGACTTTTCAGCTTTTGCTTGAGAAAAATTTGAATTTTTAATTGAAAAATTTTAGAAAGTCTTAATTGAAAAGATCATGACCTTTTACTCAAGCAAGTTCCTGTCTTATAGTACAAGTTTCATGTTTTCTGGCAATTTTACATTTTTACTGACATATTATGCACATTTTTATGTTCAAATTTTTTGTTAAATTTCAGTAATGGCATTTTGCTAGAATTTTTGTTTGCCTTTCAATAGTTATGTGCTTATCCGTCTTCAAAACGGATTCATTGCTGCTAGGTATTCAGAATACAGTAAGGAGATATTGCATAGCTTAGAAGACAAACGATTCGAAAATAGAGAGGTGCCTAGTTCGAAACCCGTAAGCGGATAATTGTTTTTATTTTTCAAATAAGTTTTTGTTCCGAACGTCTTTTTATTGTTTTGACGTTTTTCTTGTTATTACGAAGTAAGTTCAGCTTCTCCTCTGTCTAGTTTTTTGGTTACTTACGCTTGTGATTAACAAGCGTTATCAAATCGGAGTATACATTTTTTTCGGGTTAACAAATAGTTAAACAAAATCACTGAATCATTTGTGCAGCATTCAATTCTGCTGCAAACATGCTCATTTTCTTGAAAATTCAAATTAACTACTGGTTGCCAAAATTAGTTGACGGCTTAGGACCTAGGCTTTTGTTTTATCGGCCTAGTGACCTAATGTTGATTTGTTTAACGTGAAAAGTAGTTTTTTGCCTACTTCTGGGTCGCACAAATTGCTAAAGTCTAAAGAGTAGTTATAGATCTAGTTTTTCATGACAACAATTTTTTTTCGGCTTTTTGTTTTTTTCTTTTCTTTTTTCGGTTCGATTGGTTTCGGCCTATATTATATCTGCGTAATGGCCTCATTTTGCGTCTTTCGATGACGAATGTTTTTTAGTGCGTGTGGGTTTTGAGGTTGGAGGGGGGCTTGATAATTTTTCTTTAGTCTTAAATTTTTTTGAATTGTTTTCATGTTTTTTTTTGTTTAATTTTACTTTTTTGGCTTTTTAGGTTTTGGCTTAAATTATATCGGCTTAGTGACTTTTATTTTTTCATTTGACGAGCAAATAGGGTTTTGTATGTGAGCAAGTTTTGAAGGCGAGGGGGACTTGTCAAGTTTTTAGAAGTCTTTGTCTTGCTAATTTTTTTTCGGCTGAAAGGGTTTCTGCTCAGATATTTGCTGCCGTTTGGTGAACTTTTTCCGATGCTATTTTCGCATTCAGCTTTTACAGATTTGTTTTTTTTGGAAAATAGAAAGTTGATTAAGTGCCAATGAGCGTTTTTTTTTTTAGGAAAAAGTCATAAAATTTGATCAAGCTCAAATTTGTTGTTTTTTTTTGTATCATGTTTTTCGACCATTTTTATTTCAATTCAAGTTCGTCTGCTGAGAAGAAGGCAAATGGCGCTCTCCTATTACGAAAATACAAGTGGAGCAAAAAAAGTGAATTTAAGTTTTGAAATTGGTTTTTTTTTAAAATTCCCAGCAGAATGAAAATATTTACCTCTTGAATCAGTTTTCTTTAATTCGGTTAAATTCAGATAAAAAAGTTTCTTAAAATTTTTTTTTGACTTAAAGATGGTTAACCTGATGTGTTTCTTAGAAATTCAGAAGTTGAAAAGGTTTTGAAAATTTTTTTTTACCGGTTTTCCTGAGTTAAATGATTATAAGCAATTATCGAACTGTCAGTTGGCTATGCTTTTGGAATATCTGTTTTTTTTTGTGAATTTCTACGGTTTTGTGCAAAAGCTTAGAGCATTGATTTTTAATTAGCCCCACAAATCAGTTTGCAAGGGACACTTTTGAAAATTGACTCAAATTTAGTCACGCGCAGTTAAATTGGCAAAGAGCAAAGCTACGCCGAACTCTACTTAAGGTTGCGCAAAACAATGTCATAGTCTGTGAGACAGATTATCAGTTTAAAAAATTACAGAGCCTGTTTAGCAAGCAAACGCTCGTTGTATACTACGGGTTCAATTTTCCCAACCTATCTCTTTTCGCGCCTTTACAACAATAGTTCTCCATTTCAATATCTGTTGAATGCTCCAATTCATTTTGGCAATTTGATAGCATGGGTTACACATGCTTTAGTGATGGCTCCTGTCAGGAAGGTAGATAGATGGCACACAGCAGCTGTAAGGATATTAGACACCTACTGTGGCGATCTCATATGCTTCATTTTTATTATCAGAAGCCCATTTATTTATTTTTGAATTGTAATGCATTATAAAGATCCGTTAGAAAATACATTCTCAAGCTCCGTTAATGCATTATAAAGCACCGCTGTGCTTACTGTATTTGCACATTAGGAATTGTAACCAAGTAAAAATCTTCTTTGAAGCGGAAATTGCAGTCAACTACAAAGGCATGGGCGAAATTCTTGGCGTAGAGCGGGTTCTCCGGGTTCTAGGCAACTCAAAGAAAGCTAAGAGGGGGTCAAGTGTGTATCATATTCAAGGCCTATACGTCATGATTCAGATTCACAAGATGAGAAAAATTCAAAATCAGTGTCGAGACACATTGGTCTAATTCTTACAGTTTTCTGACTAATTTATACGGAGTCGATTTGATCATAAATTGTTTCAGCTTAAGTAGCTACATCGTGCTCCTAATTAACTAATTAAATCTTCGCGCACTGCCTGAAAATAAACAGAGAATTTGGAAAAAGATGAAATTTTCTTATCATACGCTTATGCTTTTTTACGAGATCAATTTTTTTCAACCGAAATCGCACATTTTGTGTTTGACTTCTGTTCAGTTTTACAGTGTTTGCAAAGTATTTAGCGTGAAATTAAATAAAGCAATTGCTAATTTCTTTGCCATCTGAAAATTTTTATGATTTCCTAGCTTTTAATATCTTGAATTAAAAAGAATTTTTAACCTTTTTCAATCAATAGATCATTTTTGGATATTTTAGTGTGCTGAGTTTTGACAATTAATTGACGAGATAATCAATGGTTTTATTTAGTTGCATGTGAACGCATAACGTATAAAAGGTGAATGAATCTGGCTCAAAAATCATTGTTCTAACTTTTGAAGAAAGGGTCCGAGTATTTGCTGTCGCGGTTTTGAATAATTTTTACTGTCGATTTTTGACATTTTTTTCTTTGCAGTCCACAACAAGTAATTCATCTGCGATTATTTTTTGTGAATTATTAAGTGTGATGATTATTAGTTTAAAATGATTAATTCGTGCGAAATTCAAATTTTCATTAACGCGTAGCGCAGCCAGCAAAATACTCCAAATTAAATGAAAGAAAATAAATTACCCAAAATAGTTTTTTCTAATGGACTTAAGTTGTTTGATTTTGTGTTTTACATTGCGTGTGGGATACTTTTTCAAAAAAAAAACAAAATTTTTTTCAAGTTATTTTTTTCGTTCCATGATATTCAATCTTATTCCGATCTACCCTGATCTTATATGCCCTATACTATTCTATTCTATGTTCCAGAATATCCTATACCAATCTACCCTATACCATTTTACCCTATAATTAAAGCAATTGAAACTTAATTCCTCCTCTTGATGAATCCGAAACAGAATATTTCCGAACAAATCAAAGAACCATTAGTTGTGACCGAAGAATGATTGCCTCACGTGAACATATCAAAGCAACCTAAAATTTGCTTGTTCAAATTGTAAATGAGTTCAAAGCATGAACGAGCAAAAATTTCATTCCAGTTTTTTGATAGAAATGCGTTGCGGCGATTTCTGATTAGTTGATCATAAAAGGTGGAGTAGACCCCCCAGTACCAGGCCAAGGCGGTACTGGTGCGAGGTGATGGAGAACGAAAAAATCTTTTTATATAGGCCTCTCACCTCCCAAAAAATTAGCCCTCTACGGCCACGGGAACCTCAAAAAATGTATTTTTAGAAATTCAATTGATTTTTCGAAAAACGCATTAAATTTGATACAATAAACGCAACGCAATCAGGAATGATTTAATTGCGCGAGAGAATACACATGTTAAAATAGAATCTTTGCTAAAATTGTTGCAAATATTTTTCACTTTCTTATTCAATTCCCTGTACTTCTTGCGACTGGGGTTGCTGTTTCCCCCCACTGTCCTCGATATATTAAACTTTTGATTTCAGCATCCAATTTGATTTACTCCAGAAAAATGTGAATGGATGGGTGGTTTCCGTTAAAGAGAGTAGCAACGCCAAGATGCCAACCTTCTACGGCATTTGTTGTCCTGAATAATTCAGCAGCTACTTCTTGGGAATAGTTCCAAAGGTTTACTAGAGAAATCGCGAGAGTTCCTTGCGATGGTTTCGCCTTTGATGTAGGTGCGTTGGAAGTATGAGGTTACCTCATCAAGTTTTTCGGTGTTGTTGTCCTCGAGATCAAAGTTGTCAGACATTTTTCGATCTCCTCAATAACCAAGTCGAAAGCAGCAGTGACTATTTCAATTGGCACAAAATTTATAGCTGGAATTAGGCGCATCGACAAATTGAGTTCGTGACTAGTTTCATACAGTCGTTTTGGTCTCACTTCGTTTATTTTCCGATTGAAAACTTAACATAAATGAAAATAACATCTTTTAAGCAACGCTCAGGTATGATGACTAGCGAAAACATTAAGTGCTGCA